CTAGAGCGACTCAAAAGCATGTTGAGTTCTACCTCATTTGCATGCTCAAGTGAGAACAAAGTATTTTTTAGTAATGTTATTATCCCAAAACCCAATGGAATAAATTGGATTATTGATATTGGTGCCACAGATCACATGAGGCCAAATATCTCTAGATTCATTAATTATGCAAAGATAAATAGGCCACATAAGGTCCTTACAGCTAGAGGAAAAATCTTATTAGTGGTGGGTATTGGGAGCATCAAAATTAATAGGCTGGGTACACTCAAAGATGTCCTTAGTGTGCCTAGACTTGAGGCACATCTTATAGCCTTACAAAAACTTGTGCAAGATTGTAAGTGCAAACTTATTATTGAAGATGATACACGTTTTCTAATTGATAAGGTGTCGGGATAGAGGATTAGACATGTTAGGCATCAAGATGGCCTTCTCTATCTAGAAGATCAAGATGCAGTTTGTCTCTCCTCTCTTAGTTGTGTTAGACATCTTTCTTTTGAATTGATGAAACATTGGTTTCCTACCATTTGTAATAAGGTTGATGTTAAAACTTTGATGTGTAAGGCCTGTCAATTGGCAAAACATAAATGATCTACATTTCATTTTAAGAATGAAAAGAGTTTAGTACCACTATATTGGATTCACAGTGATATATGGTGGCCATGTCAGATATCTAGTATATTTGGTGAGAGATGGTTTATGCTATTTGTTGATGATTCTACCCGGTTTATATGGCTTTATCTTCTTAAGTCCAAACTTGAAGTGTCTCAAATTATCTCACAGTTCTTTAACATGATAGAAATCAATTTGAAATAGTGATAAAGTGGCTCAAAATAGATAATGCCAAAGAGTATTTCAATACTATCATCTCCCCTTATTTTGCTCAAAGAGACATAATCTATGAATCATCATGTATTGATACTTCACAACATAATGGGTTAATTGAAAGAAAAATTGACCAAGTTGTGGAAACAACTAGAGCACTATTATTCTAAGAATATGTACCCAAACAATATTAGGGAGAGGCTATATTGACAGCTACACATCTTATAAATCGTATACTAGTAAGATCAACTAGACATCAGAGTCCAATTGAGTTACTATCTAAAGCTTATCAAACTGTAAAGTTGCTAACGAACTTAGCTCCTAAGGTGTTTGGTTGTGTGGCATATGTTCACATTGCTAATACTCAGTTGGGTAAGTTAAATCCTAGAACACATAAGTACATATTTGTGGGATACTCACCCACTCAAAAAAGCTATAATGTTACTAGTCATCATTCAAAAGATATTATATCTCTATAGTGTTACATTTAATGAATACAAGATGTATTATAAAAGGACCAAAGAGCCTGATATTCAAATATTAGAAAATTCTTTAGTTGCTAGCCTTGAAGACCTTTGCCCTCAAGTGACACAAATATTTAGAAGACAAGTTCAGATAGAGTCACCTAATACAATAGTCACAATTAAAGAATAAAGGGTGGAGAATGTAACTGAACCAATGTAGTTCGAAGAAGATGATCTAGGGCAAAATGAGGTCAAACAACTTGATGTAGGCCTAGTTGAAGATGATCAACTCAACTAGCCTATTACCCTATGGAAAGGGGTAAGAAATTGCAGAAACAAACCAAGGTATTCAATGGCCAATTATCTATCATATGATTGATTGAGTCAAGAGTATAAAGTATTCTTGAGCTCACTTAATATGATGTGTACCAAAAACAATTGATGAAGCATTAGCTAGAAAAAAATGGAGCCAAGCAATGAATGTAGAGATGGAAGCCTCGCAAAAGAACCATACATGAGATCTGGTTCCTCTCCCAATTGGTAAGAAGGCTGTGGGATGTAAATAGGTATATACCCCGAATTGTAATGCAGATGGGTCACTTGAAAGATATAAGACACAATTGGTAGCAAAAGGCTATACTCAATCATATGAGGTTGACTATCTTGAGACCTTTGTTCCAATTGCTAAGCTTAACACAATGAGGATATTGATTTCTCTAGTAGCTAAGTTGAACTGAGAAATATATTAATTTGATGTCAAAAATACATTTTTACATGGAGAACTAGAAGAGGAAGTCTACATGACTATACCTCTAAGATATCCACTATCCAATCAATCATGAGTGGTTTGTAGACTAAAGAAAGCCCTCTATGGTCTCGAACAATCTCCTCGAGCTTGGTTTGGAAGGTTCACCAAGACAATGAAAAGTCAAAGATATAAACAGAGTAATGTAGATCATACTTTGTTCATCAAACATAATTCATGTGGAGGTATGACTATATTAATTGTATATGTCGGTGATATACTGATCACAAGTGATGACACAAATGAAATCCAAAATCTAAGTAAAAACCTCTCACAAGAGTTTTATATTAAGTCTCTTGGAAGACTAAGGTATTTTCTTGGTATTGAGTGGCACACTTGAAAGAAGGTATCTTTATTTCTGAACATAAATATATTGTTGATCTGCTCCAAGAAATTGGACGACTTGCTTGTAGACCAACAATCACACCAATGGATATAAATGTGAAACTTGGAGCAAGAGGTGACAATCCTCTGATTAATAAGGAAACCTTCCAAAGGTTGATTGAAAAATTGATTTATTTGAATCATACTAGTCCAGATGTGACATATGTTATGAATTCCTTAAGTCAATTCATGAATGACCCAAGAGAAATTCACTTACAAGCAGTGTATTGTATTCTAGCATATTTGAAGAATATTATAGGACATGGCCTACTATTTTCATAAGGTGGTGATAATATTGTGGAAATATATACAAACGTAGATTATGCAGGATCAACAAGTGATAGGAGGTCAACATTTAGATATTGTTCTTTCGTCAGTGGAAATCTAGTCTTATGGAGAATTAAGAAGCAAAAGGTGGTGTCTAGATCTAATACAGAAGCTGAATTTAGATTTATGGCTCAATGTATATGTAAAGCAATATGAATAAAAATACTACTTGAAGATCTATATCTTTACTCTCAAGGTTGCATCAAGTTGTATTGTACCAATCAATCAGCTATGACGATTACTTATAATCCAGTCCAACATGATAGGACAAAGCACATTAAAGTAGATCATCATTATATCAAGGAAAAGATTGAAGAAAGGATGATAAACCTGATGTTTATCAATTCTACTAATCAAGTGGCAGATATATTCACCAAGGAGCTGCCAAGACCAACTCTATAAAAGCTTGTATTCAAGTTGGGCATATCTAACATCCACACCCAACTTGCAGGGGGGGTGTTAGACAAGCTAGGATCTCGTTATTGTAGTGTCTCTCTTCTATTTAGGCCCTTAAGTGAGTTAGTTATGGACTACTTAATGGGCTCTCCCTTTCTTTCTTCAAAATAAGAGGGCTTGGCCCACTATAGATGTAACCAATATTTTAATCAATGTAGGGGTGAATTGAAATGAGACTTCTCGTGAATCTACTCTAATGGGATTTTCTAGGCAGCTTCAGTGAGAAGGGATGGTTAAAACCTGATCAAGAAGATCAAGATCCTAGTTTGACTCTTTTAATGTTATGAATGCCACAATGTGTGAGACGTTTCTGATATCTATATGTTATAGTGATTCTCGTTAATCTTTATAAAGAAATGAGTCAATTTTATATGATCATTATTCAGCTTTTGAGCTTCCCCTTGGAAAAATATTGGATTTTGTATTAGACGCTTACTCACCACATGTCTACGAAATGGAGATTATTTGACAGTATTGTGAGAATCTTTTTGCATCTCAAAGAGAAGAACCTCCATTCAAATTTATTGCTCATTATGACATAGAAAAAGTTGGAGAATACACAAGACATGAGATCTTTCAATCCTTGAGTTCACAAGGATTGTTTTTCTCACAATTCTTGGACCACAAGGATGAAAATAATGCCCCTTGAATCCACAAGTGGTGCTGAAATTCAAAAGCACAGATATATCTCACAAAGAGAAAGAAACTCATATTATTGATGATTTCTTTAAACATAAACGTTCAGGCCTTTAAATAGGCTGAAATTTTTTCTATCCTTAAAAGTTGGATTTAACAAAAGTGAATAAAGCTTTCATTGAAATTTAGAGTTATAACTCAATGTATATGTGAAGCAATATGGATAAAAATACTACTTGAAGATCTATATCTTTACTCTCAAGGTTGCATCAAGTTGAAGGATGGTTAACTCTACAGGTGGCTCCTATGTGTAGGTTTTGTACAATTTGAACTGATAACACCCCCAACAAAGCAAGGTTCAGTTTAATCAGCAGGAAACACTGTCAACCTGGGGTGAGGTTCAGTTTAGTGAAGTGTCCCATGAAGGTTAGAGGCACAAATCAGCACAGTGAATAGGGGTGGAGCATGAAAGGCTGTTGTTTGTATTATGGGCAAACGACACTGGAAGGATTAAGGTTCAGAGAGGTATTCCAGGAACCTCAGACGTTGATGACATGAAGTGGCTATCACAGCATGACATTGGCATGGCATCAGCACAGTGCAGCTGCACCGGTGAAGCAAAACGAAGAGGTGTAGAAGACCTTAAAATGTGATTAAACACAAGTAGGCCTTAGCCTCACAATAAGACTTGCAGCCTCATCAAAGGGACAACAGAAGGAAAAGCATTGATGGGTTGTCACAAATAAGAGGAGGTTGCAGCCTCTTAGAGCAAGTCGGCTCCCCAGAAGTGTTTCTTGAGTGAGAGGAATATATGGCCTTGTGCCAAGAAGTGGTTCTGCATGGTTTAAAGCTGCTGTTGGCAGAATAACAGCCTGAGACGGACACCAGTGACAATAACTCATTCCAAAAAGAAATTGTCCAACGTATCCCCTACCTTGAATCAAATTACCAACATTAGTTGGAAGGAAACAATGTATACAGCGTTGATACCTTCTTAGCATTACCTTGATGTCAACCATGTGAAGGTAGCAAAGAAGATATGATCCCCAGTTCTGGCCAACTTAATATATAATCCCACTTTCAAAGAAAAAAAGAATGAAGTTGAATCATAAAAGCTTGTTCGTCTGCAAGGAAGCTGAGATGGCTGAGGCCTCAGCAATCAACAGAATGGGCTGACGAGCCTGAAGGCAAGCACCTATGTCAAAGGGGTGAGTCTGTGAACCATCAAATAAAAGATTCACCCCAGGTAGGACCACTTCTCTTTTTTCTGCATCGTCTGACTCAGGTTTCACAGCACTTGCACTATTCGATTCTTCAAGAGGCGCCGTCTCAGCTTCATAGACAGGTGAGAGGGCATATGTCCTGCTCAGAAAATGGTCATCAGGGCTTCACTTAAATCTTCTGATTCTCTCCAAAATGTAATCATTCAACTGGGCCTCAAACATCCATGAGAGAAATAAAAAATAGTAGAAAACGTTTCATATAACCTTCATCATGTTTACAGGTTAACCAAAACTCCATATTAAACAATTTACTGCTCCTATTTTGGATCTATATGATTGAAGAAGGTATAAAAAATGTAGATTTAATACCAAGCATCGCCCACACTTAATATAAAACAATGACATGCAAGATTTGGGATAAACAATATATATATAATGCACACTTGAGGACAGGATTCCTTCGACTCCATAGGATAGGGCATAATTATTCCGTGATATCTATTCAGTTATAATTTATCATGTTCATGAATTTCCAAAACATTAACTGAGTTTGGTTCCTTCTGCACCTAATGCCAATACAAAAACCTTTGGTACATTACAAGTGATTTAGGAGAATTGGCTACTAGACAGCTAAAGAACAAGAGTTACTAGCCTAAAAGAGGCATTCCCATGCTTGCATGGACAGCGTTGCTCTTGTCTGACAAAGCGTCGGAACAGAAATAGTATCTTCTTACTTTTTGTGTCCTCAACTCACGTCTATCAATGGCATTTTTAGAAAACATGTACTTGGCACAATTAAAAAAAGTAGTCGCTTTCTCCAAAAGAATCTTAAGACAAATAATTACTACAAGATATTGAAGGAATCTTCAGCATAGTGCAAAAATCATGCAGCAAAGCTATAATCTAGACTTATTGAAACAAACAATTTGTAACTCATATAGTACCTGAGAATATTTCCATCAAAACTGAGAACTTCAGTACGACAACGCTGTCGATTAGCAAGCTTTAGCCTCTGATGTTCACTGGACTTTTCAGATAAAGCCATTGATGGCTCTGAGAGAGAATTCCACCTTCCGCTAGCATAGTTTATTAGCTGGCGGGATGGTTCCTTGGGTTGGTCCTTTTGCTCTTTGTGGTATAAAAGTTTCGCTGTGGGACCCATTGCTTGGTACTCAAAACAGATATCATTGAGTCTTTTCCTCAAACGCTGCATAGAATCATGATGCTCACTGATTGACTCAGTACGAAGTAGATGTGAGGAAACAACCCTCTCACAGATCCGGCTGCATAACTCCGGACTAAACAGTGGAATCCCAAATTCTATGCTTAGGGGGACCCATTCATATTTTTCATCAGGGGAAACAGACTGATAATGTTCTCTCTCCTTACACAACCTCAAAAGACGTATATAGCCTACTGTCCACAGCTCTAGTTTGTCAGACAGTTCATGTAAGAGAAGATTCAGCTTTGGAGGGCTGTTTTCCCCTCTAAAAATACCCATGTCCCCAATGTTCGCAACTGAACCATCAAAATTCTTCATAGGAAGTGGAATGTCCACTGTGACTGTTCTTCCAGACTCATCAAGGTCATATTTATTCAGGGGCTGTACTAGAACAGCTGAGTGCTTCAGAAGTGAGTTCAGACAATGCAAAAGAATATTTCCATTGACTAAGTTCCCCTCATACTTACCTCCCAAACCTCCAACAACAGATCTGTCCCAGGACCATATCAGTGCTTTCTCACAACCAGCTAATGGGGCAGGAAGCATTCGTAGGCACTGACCTTTCATGAGAACAATTGAGAGTGGTCCACTAGCCATGGTTGTATACAAAACAAGCTTCATCCAGGGAGTCATCGATGAGTATGAGGGTGGGCCAAGGTGCACAGGGCCAGCAGATCCAGGTAGAACAGAGGAAGAGGGCAGTGGAATCATGGACACAACAATATCATAGTCACGAAGAAATAGCCGATCTAAAGTAGCTGGAGCAAGAGCAGCCAGGCTTTCACATCGGAGGATATTGACATGGTAGCTCTTTTTCCCAGTTAAGTTGTCTTTTTCACTTAACTGACCGCCAGTTGAAAATGAAGTCTCATCACCCGGGATAATGTTGCTTAACTCCTGATTTTCAGGTGGCAATGCATCGGTTGCCTCATTTTCAGTTGTCTCCCCTATCTCAGATGGAAAGGAATCACCCTGAGATGATTCAACAAGCAGATGCTTATTTCCATCTGTGACATACTTCTCAGAGTCAGCAGACTCATTGATGGCATCAGCCTTGGATAAGTGGGAGTCACCACTAGAGTTTGATAACTTCACATCCAGTTCATCAGCTGCAATACCACCTGATTGGAGACATTGCAACACACGTCGAAGACTAAATGCATGATTAGCAAATTCCTGCAATTCCCCCTCAAATTTTTTCCCTTCCAATGTACCCAGATCATCGCAAAGGTCCGAAATACTGGCATCATCGAGCTTTCCTGCTTCATATAGCGTTACTGCGTGGGATTTCAGCCCTGAAAAGGATAAGTACCACGGAAGTGAGCCAAGACCATGTACAGAGATACTAAAGTGTCATGTAAAATCATGATTACACGTATATCTGAACGGACAAGGTATCTAGTTAAAACTAATGACCAGAAAAATCATTTGATGCATAAAAAAACTGTCTGATTGGTAAACATGTAGAAGGAGGCATAAGAAGACAGATTTAATTGAAGTAACCAAACAGAACAAAGAACTAAATTAGAAGGGACTCAAATGGCTGCAGATTTACAACTAATTAGTGACATGAAGTATTATTGATGCATCAGTGAAGTGAAAAATTCAATTGGTCATTAATCATTTTCAATGTCCAAGAGATAGCACGTTATCTCTCTACTCAGCATACCTGGAAAATATCATCACACATGTCTAACCTGGCAATGAAAATTGAAACAACCGCATGGCCACATAACCTTGCCTAAAACTATTCATTGAGTGTCGTCTCTAGGCATAGATGCCCTTAAATTTAGGCTAGACAGATGAAACGGTCACTTTAGTCAATCAGTCTGGTGGACTTCAAGTCAAACAACGCTTCACAAAGAATGCAACAGATATCTTTGCTCAGAAACTAAATGAATATTACTTCAGTAATATCAATCTGTAAATCGTTAGATTCGATGCTTTGATATCCTCTAGTTGGGGGAGAGTTGGCGCTAGTTGTTGCATGCGAAAAAATCCAAGAAACATCTTATTGGGATTGTTTACATGTGAAGCTCAACTTACAGAGTAGACAAAAATCAAGCTCAGCAGCGAAATAACTAATCTCTTTAAAAGAGGATAATTAGCCCCTGCATCAAGCGTTGGTTCTCTTCACTATGACTTCACACACTAAAAAATCATTTCCCTTTATACAAAAAGAAGGAAATATGTTTTGCAAGCAGAAGAGTAGAATCGAATTTGTAGATACGGATGATGATCTGTCAGAAATCATAGTGAAGCAGATACACAACGCAGTGCAGAAAGCAAATCTGAATATGGATATGTAAATATTTATTGTCAAGTGGACCTGATGAACAGGATGTAAAGCTTCTTTGACATAAAGAAAGGAGATACAATTCATCCAAAGGTGTGGACTACAAAATAATAATTCATTGACAAAACTCGCAACAAGGAATAGAAAAGACTGCTAATTATACCAATCAAAAGGTGGAATTTTAGTACTCGAGAACGAGGACTGCTAATTATACCAATCAAAAGGTGGAATTTTTAGTACTCAAGAAACAGGCTAACGACTCACAGAATGAGACAGAAAAATCTCCTAAATTCCAGCATGCAACATTGACATAACCAAGAAGAAAAAAATGCTACGGTATCCATTGTGGGCCTAGGTTGGTCAGATGAAGCGCTGGTACAATTCTGAAGCTTCTATTGCAAGGTACTGCACAGCCTGGAAAACAGGCACACCACCAAGATCCCCTCACAAATATTCTGCTTCCATGGGAAGGCACCATTAGTATGCACTGAGTATATGACCCAACCGTTTTATCTATGGTAGCGTTTCAGGTAGATTTATGCTGGTGTTAAGATTCAAAAAATTTTGTTGTCATCATCATCTATCAGCTTCCCAAAAACTGAGATGGAAGAAGCAAGCTATTCATAAATCCACTCTGCATAATCATGTTTCTATTGACGCCTATTTCCAGATCTTTCTTACTATCTTCCATCAAAGTTCATTTCATCTTCTCCTCCCCATCTAAAAGCAGGACTAAAACGGAGGTGATTTCTTACTAGGTGCTTCTACTAACCTCAATTTCGCATCACCTCTTTTGTGGAATTTTATTTGCATATTTATTACTCCAAGAAACTGTTCCATGCTCCAACATAATAAGATGTAAATTAGATTAGCAAATACAGATGGCGACTTAAAATGGAAGAAGAACCGTGAGGATGCAACTGAGGTTAGAACAAACACTTTTTTAACTACTTTCATAGACAAGAATCTCTAGAAGAGCAACATGAAATAGGTCACACTATCATCTTTGACCCACCAATCAAGCATATATGTTAAATACACCATCTACAAGGCTGGCAACAAAGGTAAGACCTGGAGAAAGTGAGCCCATCATCAGATAGGATGTGATATTTGCATCAACGATTAAACAAATACGAGTAGAACCGGAACCAGAACTTCGGTTTTCTGACTGTGAACCATGACGTAGTTGAATAGGATCACCAGCAGTTGTCACACTAGCTGAGCTGTTACTGGCATCTTCATCATCACTTAGTAAAGTTCCCAAGGAAGAATCCCTGAGAATAGCTGCTGGATCAATCACCTTGACAGCCCAGCCTAGTCGACAAGCAAAAGATGCGGCAGATTGTAGCTGAGAGAGGTCAGCTTGTAACGTGGCAGCTAATTCAGCAACAGTTGCATTCTCACTTGAAACAACAAAAACAGCATAGAGCAGCCTACAGAAAGAAAGTTTTTATTTCACACGGCAAGTTTTAAAACTTAGAACAGGAGGATAGAATAATAGAAAAAATTGACATATAAGAGCGATGTTAGAGGAACTTACTCTTCTATAGGGTCTTCATAACTTTGCTCCCTATTTGAAACAAACCCTTCTAGTCTGGAAACTGCACGAGGATGGAATTAACAATCTGAAAAGAAGATAATAACTAGACAGAGAAGATACGCACGAAAGTCACAACTAGAAAGAGGGAGTATAAGCGATTTCAATTTTTTGGCATGCTACATGTTATTTTCCTTTAACTCTTATCCAGTTTATTACAGATATGGTCACTTAATATTTAATTTGATGCAAAAACACTACCCTCTGATTAAAACATTGAATGCACAAATGTTCAACAATAAATGAAGGATATAACTAACACATCCCAAAAATAAGATGATTGGATTTTATATCAATCCAAATTGCGCAGGGTAGACACAAAAGATCTGGTTGGACTTTAATTTTACTTTCCTGGTTCCTATAAGTAGACCAAATGATCTTGATTTTTAGAATTTGAAACTGAGAAAAATTAAGATGAATTATAAAATACACTAATTTCTGACCTGTGAGAGAACTGTTAGCAAAATACTTACTAAATTGGCACAAAAAAACTAATATTTTAATAGTTTCTTTGGTGGTAGCAACAACATCCAGTTGCACCATTTTGACGAAATAAACTAGGACAAAGTTGTACACTGAAAGCCACTGTCACATGGATTTTCTAGAGCATCAAACACCCATTACGTACCAAAAGTCTTAGCACTATGCAACACTTCCATGACAAAAACTTAGCTTTTCGTCTGGTTGTATCAACACCCAGATGAAAACACAAGGAACGATTTACTCCTATGCACCATGAAAGCCATCTTATATGGAATGATACCTTTAGAAAGGAAATTTGAAAGCGTGATAGATCAAACTAGTTGTAAGGGCGAGAACTACAATTTCCACAGGGACAGCAGCCCAATGTATCAACTACACAATGGCTACACAGGGACATGTAACTTTCAGAAATATCTCAAGTTTGGGAACTACGCAATGCTTCAGGATATAAAATCTAATTGTAAACACAAAAAGCCACAAAACTCTCTCTAGTGATTTCAAGATGAAGACTTGACAAAAAGGCAAAAAACAAAGGGGCTCCAGATAATATACCTTTAAAACGGTCATCAGGATAAACTGGAACATCGAAATAAATGAGTCCCCTCTGATAAAGACCTTTTATGACATCAGGATCAAAAAGAAAAAATGAGTTTGCTTCTTCTTTACAGATTTTATCTATTGTCGCCATCTCTTCTTCACTGAGTTTCTGCATAGAAAGAAGAAATCTTAACTGAATTAATAAAGAATGAAGCAAGATATAAAATTTCACTGCAAGCATAGATTTCTGAACACATTTTTCAGGCCAGCAAGAGGGAAACTGTCATGCATACCTTAAATTCTTCCAGGGTAAAGTTGACAAGACAAACTCCCCACCATGGGTCAATTAAAAAATCAACTGGTTGCGTAGGTAGAAATTCCTTAGCAATTGACTTGTTCAGTTTCCACATAATTTTCTGGATGGCCCACATAGGAGAAATGGAAAACAGATGTTAAATATTTTATTTATTTTATTATATAAATTTAAAACTTAAGAAGCCAAGCTCCAGTCATCTTAGAGCTCAAGCTAAGTAGAAAAGTACTAAGTATCAATACCCAAAGTACGAGCAATGTAGTATGAATTCCGCTTTTGCAACTGGTCTTGTGAGAATAGATAAAAATATTTTTTGAACAGTTCATCATGTTGTCTGTATAGTGGATACTGAAGTAAACCTGGAGTCATTGGACTGACTGGCCCTTTAAGTTCTGCTTAATGAGGAAGTAGTTGGTGTGGGAAATCTATGTAAATTATTCTTCTCATCACAACACTATATGGGCACGAACTAAACAGAGCAAAACACAAAACAGGGAAACATTTTTCAGGAAAAAGATAAAAGTAAAGCGTGGAAAGGATCCGATCCTAACACAAAAACCTCTCTAAAGTGCGATGGGAGTACATTACGAGACAAAATACTTAATGTCAGAATCATGATTCCATCATAGGCTATGGACGTGCTTCTCCTATCTCTAGGGAGGAAATAAGGAGGTGATATAGACAGAAATCATAGAGTTCCTTTTCCTACTTTGTGGTGAGACTGAAACCCTATTCTTGAAATCAGCAGAAGTTCAAAGACTGCTGTCTTCTGTGTATGTAGGGGGTGAGCCAGCAAACTGCATAAACTTTGGATCATGTGTGCGTGGTACATGAGTGGTGTACAAGTCTAATTTCTTTCCCAGTCTTTCATCCATAGGGCAAGTGAGTATTGAAGCAGGTTCTAGAAATCAATACTTAGAATTTCGTCTACTTGTTAAAAAGTTGAACCCAAAATTTCATCAGCGCCGCAGGTAATAAAAAATTAGTGTTCGATCTCCAGGTTATAAATCGGTGGCATCTTAAGGTACAACTATGAGGTTAGCTTCAAAACTACAATACCAAGGTATCTGATGCGAAGGTGACAGAGTTCAATTATCTGAAGGCCAAAAATACAGACCCAATTCGTACAAGGATTAGGCAAGAGACATTATCTGCTGAATGAAAAATGATGACAAGGAAGAACGCCAACAAAAATCATGACAAGCTGAACAGAAGATGCTACGAAATGATGTCAAGGACGGTAAAACACTAACAAAAATTAGCAACGACTGATTGCATGTAGATGTATAATTGTATAACTGCATTAGGTTTAGTATTAGGCAAATCCATTGATGTACAGTCTATTGATTCGTATGAATATTGTTTACCTATGTTCATATAAAAAGGTACCAGATCGAAATTTGATAAACGCATCAATCCATTGAAAAAATTACAAAAGTCGCCAATTAAGTCTATGAAGTCTCTTGGGTTGTGGCGGATACCTTTGACCTACATTTGTTCATTATATCAATAAATTCATTTCGGCCTATCCCGGTAAGCCTCAATGCATCTGCAGCACTGAAATTGGGTATGCTGTCATATGGTTGCTCTGCAAGAATAAACAGGTATGATGCATGGAGATCCTCAGTTGCAAAAGAAACTGATGCTAATTTCAAGAAAATACTAAATTTAAATATGAATGGAATGTCAAGCAAAATGAGTAATATTTCCTAGGATCAACAGTAACATTAGAAAGATAATACATTAAACACATAACAACTTCAGAAAAGACATGCCATTAGTCTAGGATAAGCGAGATCAAATGAGTGGTACCAATAACCCTGGAAATGTTTACCAACAAATTCACAGCTTTAAACATGAACTGCATAGCAATGATAACTTTCAGGACTCCACGATTGCCAAGGATTGCTGCATAGCAATGATAACTCCATTTGGAGACGGCAGTCTCCAAATGGGTTCATTTCTTGATTTCTTTCTCTTGGAGGCAAAGTCAGCGGCGGCTAAACTAAGACTATCCCCTTTTCTTTTACTTTTTAATCAAAATTTTCCCCACAGTAGATAAAATCCAAAAATAAACCCAAGGCAAGTTCAAAGTGTAGAACACTTCAAAAAACTCAAGGATAGCAGAAGACTTCTTTTTCCACTTGGAACTAGATTCAAAAAAATCATATTTTGGCCTGAAAATATATTTCTTAAACATTGTGCTGACTAATTGGTAAAACACACTAATATATAGAAATTAGATCAGCCTTAGATCTAAATCTGAATCGAAATAGCGATCAGGCAAATTATTCACTGATGGCAATGAGGTGATGAAAAATTAAACCTCATGACTAATAGTCAATATTTATCAAAGATGAAGCAGACGAACTTAGACTAGAACTTTAAAAATTTAGAAAAACGAAGGGAATTTGAAAGAGGTTAAGCCATCAGGGACACCCTAACACTGGGTTTATATTGTGAACAAATCTAAAAACCTGGTTCGCTGACCAAAATTCAGTCTTCAATTATACCAAACTTCAAAATCAGATCCGCCAGCCAGGATGAGAAATAGACTTGGGCTGTTAGGCAGGAACCTGGTCTGATAAGGGAAGGAGAACCTAATGATAGAGAGATCGAGTATGATGTACTGAAGAAGAAAATCTACAGCCATCCTGAAGAACATTACTATACAAAGACCCTATTGACGTGAGCTTAACTGATGTGATTAGAACAAATTATTCTTTCAGGACAACAAAAGCTCCATAAACGCATTGGACACTTCATATTTACACAGCATGGAATTGAATTAAAAGGTCAATTAGGGAGTTATGAAGATCAAATGACATTCGAAAAAAATGAGATGTATCCAATCAAGCCTTGGATATTGATAAAGCTCCAAAGTTAGAGAACAGTTACAACACTAAAAAATGAAAATTTGACAGGAATATCAAATTTCAAAGCGGCAAACTAAAATCCACGTTGAACATGGGCCTATAATAGTATGTGGTTCGAATAAAAAGGACTTTTGTGATTTTGATAGTCACTGGCATACATACACGAAAGTGAACGAGACCATCAAATTTTAGCTTGTTAATTCAAACTCAAGAGTAAAATAGATCCAGCAAAAGCCAGCACGTACCATTCTTCATAACTTCGAAGATTATGTCACAATAATATCTGAAGGGAGAGATCCTCATAACTCGACAAACATGCTCCGAAAGATGATATGGAAATAACTGCAAAAACAAAGCATCAAGTGACGAATCCAAATTTAAGAAATAAAAATAGGTTTGATAGGAAGAGATGCCCTCCTATTAACAACTTTTCTAAAGTATAACTTTAGAGAATCCAACAGAATGCATGGACAAGCTCATCAAGCATCTTTGCTCAAATGTCCCTTGTTTCTCAGGCTGGCACAAGGATATGAAAACATCTCCAAATTTTACAATCCGTTTTCCTCTCTTCATTATCTCAACTCATGACTTCAAAAATTCTACCTACTTAAGCAATTGAAAATAGATATGTATAATAGAAAAAAATCGTGCCCTATTTGACAAAAAAGCTTCTTTGAACCATCACAATAGAAGTAGACATAGCAAATAATAAATGAGCCCATAGGCTCTATTCTGGAGATTGTCCCAATAAAAAATACTGGTGATCAGAGATGATAAAACTTTCAAATCTGGTCTCAGTACGCACTGCTAGATTCTTACGCAGATACCGCATCATCTCTTCATAATATTCTCCTTCCTTACAGACCTTACGAGCAAAACAAGTATTCCACTGCAGCCGTTTCCTAATGCAATGGTTTATTATCCTGCAAACAAAGATACAAGCTTTAGAAAAAAAAAGAAAAAAGTTGCTAGCGAAATGATTCCTGACGATTGTGAACACAAAATAAGATGCAAGAAATCATATTTCAAAGCTAACAGGATCTGACAAAGAGAGAAAGCGAAGAATAAAAGTTCTATCCAGGAGACGATAGTAACTGTGTCACTGTCTTCCCAACCATAGTTGCGAGAACCCTCCCCCAACTTCTCTCACGTTTACTCATCTCCACCACAAACTGACACTTATTCAACCACTCCTATCAAAGCATCCAGCTGTCAAAAAATTGATCACTATAAGGTTACTTACTTAAGTTACATGTCTCCCATAAGAGTGATAGGGTCCATGTCCTACATATAATGATTTGTGTAACATATTTATCCTTCGCATGATGCATTTCATAACTAAAGTCTTCAGTTTCCCAACTCCTGTCTTTTAAATGAAATGAGAAAAGAAAAGGAGAAGCCCTCCCCAGAGCACAATCCAAATTCATGATGAAAATCCTTCAACCCCACAAATCAATAGTAAATTTATTTAATACGAAAATTCATGATATCCTCATGAATTCAATGAGGGCAGGAATAAATTTCAATATATCATCTGACTAATGTCAGCTTTACTGACATAACAACCTCTGAGGTTCAGTAGTCACCTAGTACACATTGACTGAGGAGTCAAGCAAAGAAAAACAGAGGAACAAAAAATTCCAACCCCCATGGGAAGACAGTACACTGCAAAGCAAGTGTAGGGTACTAAATATAGCTCAGAATCGAAATTGCACAACAAATAGTGATGTTATATGACCAGGAAACGGAATAAGCTGTAACTCCTGAGACCATAAAACTGCAGTAGAATAATAGTGTTGAGCATTAACTAAAAAAAGGAAAACCGAATCAAAAGAAACAAAGCATCACATGAAAACTAATTAAGAAAAATAGTGAACAACAAGGAAAAAAACTGAGCAATTAGAAGGCCATTACAAACCTGATTTCTAATGTACTCGAATGAATTAGCCACGGATATATATTGTTAAGGAGTCATTGTAGAAACAGATAAAGATAATTTCCTACCACTGATGGTCTATAATTATTGCAGTACAACACAATATGAGATACAGTGGATGCACAAGTTTCTGGGTGTTAACATGATGCAATCTGGATATAACTCTATTAGATAACTTCACAGATAGACAAAGCTAATCATAAGCTTCTACCATAAAAGGGTAAAATCACCAATTTTAATCAATGCCACCAAAAGGTCCAGTAACTAAAGATTAATGACTGGTAAACGTCCCCTCAATTGACAGATATAAGTGAGATTAGAGATGACCTTCTATGCCATTCCTCTCTAGTAGACAAGGACGACTGAAGTCGTTTAGGAAGATTTTCCCAAGGACATTCATCCTTGATAGCTTTGAAAAATAGCTGCTCCTCAGTAGTAGCTGGAGCACGCTGCATCTTCGCAAATAATGTACAGCAGCGCCTCTATGATGACTGAAATGAAGTAAAGAAAAGAAACCGAAATTTGAATTAACGGCAAGAATATGCCTCATAAAAGAGTATTTTAAATTAATCAACTACAGTCCTCGTTATTAGTTGGTACCTAGGTATTTATAAGAAGGGGAAACCAATGATATTTACCTCCTGTGGGTCACAAAGAGGGGTGATTTCTTCAGGTTCAAGTTCCAAGGAACTTAACATAGTTTTTCTAGACAGATATTTGCCTCAGCATTTCAGGAACCAGACATATCTGCAGACATTGACATGGAAACAATCAAATTAAAAGAAAAAGAGTGTCCCCAAGAGAAAGAAACAATAATAAACTGGTGGTTGCTAGACAAAGCATGGGAGAAGGTACAGAGGGAGAGAGAGAGAAACTACGAAGGAGACTGAGTTTCATCTGCGGACAAAGTGTGGAAACCCATTTGTCAGATGAAAACGGAAGGAATGGTTAAGAATGAAAACACAATTAATCATTTGCTAGATCATGCCAAGATTTTCGTTTACTGCACCCCCATCAAGCAGTAGATTATGAACGCTGATGCCGCAAAACGTCCTACTCTGGAGGATATCATCCCTACTCCATATTCATCTTCAACATAGGATCAATCAGCATCCATCATTGTGATTGTATCATCATTTTACTTCTGCAATATAATTCTTTTAAGAAACAAGTCCTCATTTTTCAAAAGTGAAATCTATAGCTCGAAATCCACAGCCAAATCCGAACCGACCTACATCACCATTATTTTAAAGGCTTACATATGGCTTTGTTGTTACTTTTAGCACACAGTTGAATCTGCCACCCATCTAAGAACTATTCATAGCACCAGAACTTGCTTTTCTACCGTCTAAGAATATTAAACCCATATATACATTTATCTCATCTCTCTTTGCTTCAAGTTGTGAAACTTCATCACAGAATCAACCAGGAAAAAATCTCTACCACAACTTTGTATTGAAGTGCAACCATGAGCAGATCATGGACTTCCCGGGCCTGCTGTCCTTCAATTCTCTTCCCCAATTAAAGTGCAGCGACGTTCAATTTAACCTCTACCAACTGCACTTTCCTCTGGCCTCACAGCTTTTCCTTCTTCCAAGACCAAATAGTCAGCGACACCCATCTTCTGGGAGAATGAAGGAAACTGAATCTTAACTCAATTTGAATGATTTCCATTTTGTTTCTATCCACTCCATTTGGACATCATCTGAAGTTGCTTGATGAAAGTGATTAACTTATCAGAGAAACTCCAACTGACCATTTTAACTCCACATGTGTGGGTCTTTAGATTTTTTTTATGCACGCCAGCCAATTCAACACAAGACTGAAACCATCATAAAACTGATCAACTTAGCATTTTAATTCCACATGAGCGTCTCTTTAGGTTCTTAGGAAAACCAAACTGTCCAACGGAAACCAAAATCTTCATATAAGCATCAGTGCATGGAATGAAAGATATCTTTGGACACTAATGGAAATAAAGCCAATCAGTTTTAATGAATGAAGAGTATTACAGATCTTTGGCTCCTACAGAAGGATTAAATCATCTCAATAAGAGGTCAGGCAATCTTATGGTTTCCCCCTTTACTAGGTTCAGAACTACTTTCGATCCATACATTGCACAGACATGGCAGCCACCCATTTTGCGTATATTTTTTTCCTTCTTATCATTGGAATAGCTCAAGACGGACCATTGTGGGAAGAAAACGATCAGTCTGGATCAGAATTGTCTGACGCACATCAATGAGATACATTTTTTGCCGAATCAATGACCTAAATTGCGGCTTTACACTCGTGTTCATCACGGACAGGAAACCATTTCCGACAAGAAGCGCCTCCCCGCTGTGCATTGAAATGGGCCTGATCTTGACTACAGAGTCTCAAGCGCCTACTCACATTTGACGTCATCTGGTCACCAGTCTATAGAAATCGACTACGAGGAAATGCAACTGATCCTGCGAGTCCCGGGGAAGGAAGACGGAAAGAGACTCCCAGATTTAGATTCCGTACCGATTGTCAAGCTGCCCGAGAAGATCAGCCAACCGACTAAAAGAGCGCCGAAGGGGAGAGGCAGCAAGAGAAAGAGGAGATGTGGGAAGGGGCATTAAGCGAGAAAAACACCCCGGCATCCGAAAGAAAGACGGATCACAACAATTTTGGAGATCTGGATTGCTTCCATGCGTACTCGCGCAGAGAGAGAGAGGGAGAGAGAGGGAGGGAGGCAGAGAAGAGTGGTGAAGGGAGGATTGCAGTAGTACCAGAACTGGGCTCGGCAAACGCCACCTCCAGCCGTCGAAAATGACCCCTTTTGGAACACACCACGCCCCCGAACGGCCAATGGAATCGCTCTTCTTCCCCACGCCGCCTTCCTCGACGGGTCCCCAGTTCGTCTCGTACTTCTCTGACAATATTTCACAACAACAGTGTGTGCCGAATCCATCAGTATATATAACCCACCAAAATCCGCGACCCAATTCTTTTGTGCATTAAAGAATATGAATTCTGATCCTATTCGGTGCAATCGGAAGCATACTCTTTCTTTCTTAAACACGAGGAAATTTACATTCGCACTAAAATTAGCATCTTCTTCTGTCCAGATTTCTATGAGCTTCAGTCTCCTTCCAAGATTTCTCCGTCCGATTTCTGCAACACAACCCAGTTTTTGAATAGATACGAGAAACCATAGCCTAACCCAACAATAAAGTTAGCGCTTCCTTAGCATTGGATCCACCTTGTTCCCAGTCAAAGGCCCCAAGGTCAACCTTCATTCAATGGTTGAGGGCCATGAATGGTCCCCCAACCCCTACATGTTACGTAACCCAACGTGGCTTCTTCAATCCCCTAATATTTTCTGCAACGCAACCCAGTTCTTGAATAGATAGAAGAAACCATAGCCGAACCCAACAATAAAGTCAGCGCTTCCTTAGCATTGGATCCATCTTGTACCTAGTCAAAGTCCCCAAGGTATGAGGGGTCAACCTTCTTCCAATGGTTGAGGGACATGAATGGTCACCTACTCCTACATGTTAGGCAAGCCGACATGGACTGTTGTATGTGTTCTCCTTACACATTCATTTAATGTTTTTTCCATGCATTCATTAGTCTTCCATTTAAACACTTTCCCATCATATTGGCACCTGTTGACTTCAACCACTCCCCTTCACACTACTTACATTTTTCATTTGATTTTTCCACATTTTTATAATGTAGTAGGGATATTTAATCTATTTTTCTTATAAAAAATAACAGTATACCTTCTGGGTAGTGTCATTAATGAAGGTAGTCTAGTACTTCAAGCTTATGGGTACCAACTTCAACCAAGAAATATTGGGTTCCCTTCTCTCATAATGATGTAGTTTGTATATAGATTGAGCTATTGTGATATGAGGCATGATATCATGTCCTTTAGAAGCCAACATTTTCATTATCTTCGTACTCATGTCCAAGTAGTGGACAGTCCAAGGCCATTGCTTCAACTTTTGTAGTGGCGAAAGTTATATTGTCACAGCTAAGATTTATCTCATATAGTGAGACATTCTTCACTCCTCTTGCCATCACCATAGGTCCCTATGAGGTCTTCCTATAACAATTAACGAAGGTTGTCACACAGCCATGGTGGTCTAGATGCCCCACAAATTTATTTATTTATTTATTTATTTTTCTTAAACTTGGGATTTGCCACACAATTGTTTAATTTCTATTAAAGGTCTGACTTGAATGCTTTTCTTGCGACCTACATCATTGACTACATAGATCTTGCCCAAGTTTCCAACAACATAGTTAATCATCCATAAAATACATGAGGCGAATGGAGTGAAGAGGTAGGAGTGGGTTATGGAAATGCCTTTAAAAAAATCATTTCATGTTATTTTTTTAATTCCATTATTACTTCAAGCTATCATAAGTGTTATTTATTAACCTTTATAACTCCTAAAGACTGATTCAACATGCACACTTTGGCAATGTAAAAAGTTGAATCTTTGTATCTTGTATGGTTTCTTGGTCGTAGTAAACTGTCAATAGCAGTGAGTAGTTAAGAGTACACAGCATATTCTAATGTTGTTCATATAAAATGGTGAGTTCTCATTAAAATTCTAGTATTTGACCCCTTAGAATCCCAAGTTTATAAGAACCCAGTTGGGTGCTAATTTTATTCAGCACCTTGAAGTCATGAATATAAAAGAGGTAAGTGAGACATCTTTGACTTGGCTTTTAGAGTCATGGATCTAGAAATAAGTACTTGATTAGAGCCTTGAACCTTGGAGAGATAATCTAAGGATCATGGAGTTCAGCTATTGTACAATATGAGAGAATGTAAGTCAAGGGCATAGATTTTATAGATTAGAATAAGTCAAATGGGCCAAACCTTTATTAAAACTATATTTTTAGTTTTACCCATTATTGGTTTACTAACTTTAATATTTTCCAGCACTCTTCATATAAATTCGCCCACTCTTGATTGCATCTTTAACCATTCAACTCAACATCCTAGAACCAAATTACCCTAAAAATAAGTTGACAAAAATCTATTTCCATCATAATCTCATGTCTCTTTAGTAAGAGAAGAAATTGAATCCTTCTCCAACTTGATTATTAACAGATTCGTAACATATTGAAGTAACTCCCCTCTCAACTTACTAGGAAAACAATCTTAAAAACCAAAATTTAAAGTGATTTTTTCCCTAAAATGATTTTTTATATTAAAATTAAATCAAATTTCTTTTATCATCTTGGATGCATCAAATTTAATAAAAAAAGTTAGTCACTTTTGAGGATGGCACGAGAATAAAATAATTGAATAGGCTACTAGTCTTGGATTATTGAGAGGAGAGTGATAATATTCTATTAGTGTTGCATAATTCGAATCATATTGGCCTTTTTAATTATCTTTTGTAGGCATAAGACACTGAATTGAATATATGATATTATTATCATGATTTAATTAATTTTCATATAATGAGTATGAATTATGCTTAAATATATGAGTCATAAACTCAGCCCACTATAAATGAGAGATATATGTTACTATGTGAGATATTATCTTATCCTATGTTAGATTAAGTAATAGCATGTTTTTCTATGTAAGTATCTCACATGAATTTTATTTATTTAATGTGATAAATTAAGAGAGAAGATGTGGCATAGTGAGTCAAAACAGTTGGATGAAGGAGGTGGCATGAGTAATTAAGTTAGCCACTTAATAAAAGAATGGCTGACTATTTTTAGAGGAACATGAATGTCTTTCAACAATCCATGTATTTAAGAAGGAAGTCAACAAAGAAATAAACCAACAAGGAAGAAAACTGACAAAGAAGGAAATTGATGGAGGGAAAGGAAACTGTCCCCTCCATTGCCTATATTTAGCCCTTCACATTTTTGTCCAAGGGCATCCCAATCCCCATGAAGGAGAGCTAGCAAGAGTGTATGTCTCATGAAAATCTTTCTTAGTTTGAGTAGTGTTCATTTTAGAACATTTCTAGCTTTTTAGAGAGAGATATTCTTTCCCATTCTCCTTACTCCAAAAACATTTACTTGGAGTCTATTTTTCTCTCTTTTCAGCCCACAAAGTATAGTGAATTTCTCATCTTCTTCTTTATCCTCTAACCTTGGGATCTGAGACATCTTGGTTAGCACCATTGTGCGACATAAAGGCTGCTCAAGTTGTGGTGGGTGACAGCCACTGCAGCAACAAGAGAATGATTCTCTTGAAGTTCAATCATTCCTACCTTACTTATGTATGTGTAATTTCTCTTATCTCTTTCCATTTTATATTTGTTGAGGATCATTACTCATTAATTAAATCTTGGTATATCTTGATTAAGATTTTTAAGTATTGACTTGAATCTTAATTCAAGGATTGTTTATTAGAAAATTAACTCTTGGTTTCTTTTCCAAAGTAGATTCTCTTCATATTTTCAATGCAAAAATAACTTCATCATGATTTCTAAGTATATCTAAGTGTTACTCATCAATCTTCCCATCGTCTTATTTTTCACTCTACTCACTTATACCTTTGTATTAATTAATTCAAGTTTCTAATTATCCATGTGATCGACCTAGATATTTATTAATATTTATCTAACATTCTTATATTAATTTCTAATTTATAAATTTAAGTTTAATCCATATAAGCTTTAATTACAATGATATTTTGTGGAGATCAGAGAGAGGAGTAAACATGATGGTAAGAAGAACTTCTATACTTAGCTACAAAGTTGTTACTAAGGGTTAAAAAGGTAATAATGTCGCACCTCAAATGTGAGACAAGAGGCCAATAGTCCATCAAGTAACCTTCTCATATAATAACAAAGGCACGACAAGCTAGTTGAAGTTACGTAACCTCCCTTGGAGTCAACTGACGAGTTAGTGTTTACTCATGTATTACATTCATGAGATATGGAGGCCCTATTATGAGTATTTACTCATCATCTTTTTCATTTCCTTTGCTACTTAAATGCTTTGATATTTCGATCTGATGGACAGGCAATGGCATAGATGGAATTCCCATCAGATTTTGTGACCTTCTACAACATGGCCCTCTAGATTGTTGTAAGATAAAAGAATCATGCTTGATTGCTGATGGGTCTAGCCCAAAAAGTAAGCCATAGTTCATTATGAACCAGGGCCCATTTCTTTTTGTTCATTAATAAATATGTAGCTTTACGATATGACTTAGTAGATCAACTTCCATCTAGCATGCATGTTAATTTGCAAGTCATGTCAGCCATTATGTGCATTTTCACCACACTTAATTACGCATAATGATTAAAAAAATATTATCCTAATTATTATTCGCTTGAAAATTGCATTTAAATTCAACAAAAAAGTCCTAGAATGACAGTATTTAAATTCAAAATCGCATTTAATCGATTTAGTCAATTAGATCTGGTAGTTTTAAGACCCATAAATCCTTGAATCGATCATTAGATATTAATGAGAATGAGACAGTTTATATGCTCAATAACTAGGTCAGATATATGAACTTGAGAAAGACCGCCCCTCAGAATTGATATCCGGTGTTTTTATGCAGAGGTGTTAGTGACCCTATGTGAGTCAGAGAGATTACAGAGAAACAGCAGCAAAACAGAACCGCTATGATGCCACTGATCAAGGGGCTTTCCTTCACAAAAACTTTAAGATCTTGAACCAAATAATAATCTGTTTCTTTTCTGCAAAGAATTTTATTTTCAAACTGGTTACAGAACTTGACAAGAATAGTAAACAGAGACCAGATGAAAGGAAGACCCAGAAGTGACTTTTGCTTCATTACATTTTCATGTACATTTAAGTATATATATATATATATATATATATATAGTGGTGGAATGGCCAGGAATCGTATCAAGGGAAGACTGAGTTGATCAGTCATAAACTCTCTGTCTTGTAGATCAAGAACAGCTGAGGGTGACAACCGAATCAATTAAGGGGGGACAAGAGACCTCAAGGCTCCAAAAGTCAAACCTGTAACGATCTCAAAATATTTATTGGTCAAGGAGGCTTCCCATTATCTAAGTTCTCCATCACATCAATGTCCGTCCGGGTAGTTATTTTCTGAACATAACCTGAGAGATCAATGGAAAAATATGTAAGCTTATATCAGAATAAAACAATAGCTTTAATGAAAATAGTCTTGTAATCAGTGGTAGGTTTTTCTCTGTAAAAACTCAAGTAAACTGACAATGACAGAAGGATGTCTGTTGCCCACAGCTGAATCTAGTTCACAGAAAATTAAAAATATGGTAACTTCCAATATCCTTTACAAATGATTTTATAAAGAGATGGAATACTGAAACCATTGAAGAACAGTCTTACAAGTTTTGGTTTAGCAGTAAGCTTCAAACCTTTTGGTTTAGCACAAATATGCATCCTTGAAATTCATTCCCAGTTATACATCAAGTAGATGCAATTCATTGAATCACACATGCACAAGCGTATTATGAATTAAGGAGCTTTGTCAAAGGAAGCATGAGAATAAATGCCATCTGAGCAAACAATCAGCCTAGTTTTCAGGCAATAGACATGCGAAATACAACCTAGTTTCCATGTACCCACCGTCATACCTAATATGCATTAACCATACATGTAACAGCTTTCTCAGGAATCAAAGAGAAACAAACTTGATGATGTTCTATAAGATAACTTTTCTTTCTAAATGATTAGGGTATCCTCAACAACAGGTTTCATCAATAAAATCAGTAGTGAGAACCAAATGTTGGGATCATGCTGGTGATCGATCTCACCAGCTCATCTGTGTGCACCAGTTTTGTGTCACGATCACTTGATATTTTTAGACAACATGTGCATGTTGCATATCATGTTCTATAAGACCACTTCGATCTGTTTTTGTACCTACTTTTTCTCCATTCCTAACAGGCTTCCATGTACCAGCCTTCCTAATAGTCTCCGATATAATTTTTTGTATTGGAGCCAGCTTGCTGAGCCCATCTTTCCAACACGCTTAAGAAGAAGCCTTCTGCTCAACCATAATCAAACAACATCAGCCTGAACCACCACGCTAGTAATACTCATTCTAATTCTATCAACTGAGATACAGTCAGAGGAAGGCATCAATCAGTCACCATCATTCATCTGTTGATAATAATGAATAGATCAACCACATTCCTGCTCAAAAGCCACTTTCAAACCAACATTCAACACCACATGTACATTTATATTTTCAATGTATGTTTTCTCAATTAGTCCCTTAAGTTGTACATGAAGAGGATAGAGAGCTTTGTTTTGATACCCTGGTCCATAGGCTCAAGGGCATGACCTACACCAGCAAAGTCTCATCACAGCAATGCACTTCTTATTTCTGATGCAACTGTCAGGGCAATGGTAGCACCTCTTTCATCATAGTCCCCAGTTATTATTGAAGAGATCAGGCATCTGCATGTTTCTTCTACAAAAGTTTCCTCTAATGTTTTAGAATGGAAAGCAGCTTATGCTCTTGTTCGTTTTATCTGCTGATACTTCAATTTTGCAGCTTGTTGGTTTGCTTCGATTTAGCTGTTTTCTATTCTAATCCACTATTTAACCAATCTGCTGACTGATATATTTAACCCATGGCTCTTAACTACATGTCTCCAAAATACCTGCATGTGATTCATGAATCAGATGATGCAACAGTAAGTAAAACGTCCGCAGAAAGGATTTGAATGATATAAAATAGCCGAAAAATAAATAAATTTATTTTTTTAACTAGTTCTTACGCTTAAATGAATGGATTAGATTGGTTCAGACTCTACTCGTCTTTCAAGTCCTAAGCAGCTTCTAGTTCCCATGAGATATTGACATTTCCCTTCTGTCAAGATATACATACTGGGGGGGGGGGGGGTGTGGACTCTAACAGTTAGGTTTCGAGAGGGCTATATCCATCTCCGGAACAGGGGATGCGGAAGGAACGTTCGCAATTGTAGAGATATGATAAAACACAAACAGAGATCATACAGATTCCTTGTGAATTAAACATAGCTCTCAAGGCAATCACATTGGCTGGAAATGATTGTGTCCTCAAAACATGTTGCTTTCAATAGTAACAATGCTTCTGAAAACACAATTATGTCATTACTATATGATAGTTAGAATAATGAATCATATCTACAAAGTAACAATGCTGATCCCACTACTTTTGACTGAAACTACATTTCATCAAAGAATCGAAACACGAAAATGCAACCAGATGAGTAAATAGTCAAATAAGGTTGAGAATCCATCCACTTTGCAGGTCACTGTAAGCATAATGCAGCCACAGTCTTGTACCAGCTACATTCAGAATCGGGATGAGGACACACTAAATTTTTTGGGTCTTGTTTCATGGCATACCAGCATAACAATTTTGAGACATTTCAAGAGCATAAAATTTTTGAAACCATGTATATTATTCATGCATATTACAATTGAAAATTTATTTTCTTACCCTCTCCAATCTAGTGGTCAACATCATATTTTTTCCCCACTTTATCAACTTAGTTTGGCAATTCCAATTAAATCAACAAAGCTGTGCGGTCTTGTATTCCAATTTACAATGACTTTTCGAATTTATGTTCTTGTGTACATGTCTTGCTTATTAAAATGTTGCGCACAGTTGGGTTTCAAAAATGCTCATAATGTATGGTATACATCTGAGTAAAAAATGAATATCATGGATAATTGTTTTTCAAAAATGTACAAAAAAAATAGTATCGGTGAATGCAAGCAATGGAGAAAGATAAACCGAAGCACTAAGAGAAACAAAAGAGCCTAATTTCCAAGGAAATTCCAAATACATTAGCCAGATGATTCATTGATACTAAGAGCATTGCCAATGAACTAGAAGGAAAAATCGGAAGACAAATACTAAGTTGACCCTTTAAAGAAGGCAATTCACCAAAAAGGAAATGCCAAGGAACCATGAACCAGATTCTTTCTCCTCCCCTGAGGCACAAGGAGGAGACAGTTTCCTTCAGCGAAATGTAAATTAGCCACATAAGTTAAAAAACTCAAAATCAGTAAAAAAAAAAAAAAAAAAAAGAGAGAAAAAAGTGATCCTGATGGTGCTGTGAGAACAAAAGGATACTTCGAATCAGACTATAACATAGATCCAAGCGGATCATCATATTTGGACTAGGTTCAAAGAATTCCCTAGAAGGAATGTGATTATGCAATGATGAGTTGCTGATGTTTACAATTCCGTTATCATTACAGTTTTTGATATAGGCCAACACTTCTGCTCTATCAGGGATAGGAAAACCTTTGTAAGAAAACGCTGGAAGAATAGTGTATGAAGCTCAAATAGATTATAGATAACGACTTTTATACATTTGATAATATATATATATATATATATATATAAAAGCCCCAGAGTGAAGGTTATGACTTGGTCACATTCATCCATCAATGCCCAAGAACATGAAGTTGGAGCCAAAGACGAATTATCAGAAAATGGGTAGAGTAAAAAAATTTCCAGGAATCTGAAATCAGAATCATTACATTTTAGATGATGGATTCTCATAAAAAAGGGAACCATATGACGATATATGATATGTCATCTTGCTACTTGCATTCTGGAAGCGTTTTTCCCTTTACTACATCAATTAACTCTACTTCCCCTCCATGGATCACACAATTGTCCTCTCAAAAAGAGGTACAGTAATGGCAAGAGGTGGCATACATGGCTGGTTCCTTGACCACGACAGAAACACATGAGCACCCTGACAAGAGGGTCTCAAAGTCAACTATAACTCATGTGGGTCATGTGTTCTTCCCATTGCCGGGAAGAAAAAGTTTGACTTTTCCCTGGGCCCCTCTACAATGAACAAAGAGTAGGGCTTCACTGCTAAGAAGACCATGGAACATCGAACAGTCTAACCACAACGGAGGCAATCGATGGAAAGAAGAGAATGAAATGGAGACGGAATGCTTACCGATTCCGAGACAGGGGACACACTTGCATATCGTCTCGCGGCCTCTCTTGTTGTAATAGCTGACGAAGCCAGTCCCCTGGCAGCTTCTGCACTTCCCCGTCCACTCGTACACCATCGCCTTGCAGTCCTATTAATGCGAAATCAACAACCCAGTGAGTAGAAAATTCTGAGACAGAGCTAGAGAGAGAGAGAGAGAGAGAGAGAGAGAGAGAGAGAGAGAGAGAGAGTGGGGAGAGAAATTTAGTCTTGATTTTAAAATTATTCGATTCACTTTTTTCATAATCGCCCGATTATCAAATGTGCTATGTAGACCTGCAAATTCACACCTCAACTCTCTCTTTTTAAGGAACTGCTCATAAACTCTTACATAAAAAAACAATGTTGCTAAATCGTAAGCTTATCTCACCCCACCAATATGCAATAAAAAGTGGACATCCGAAACCTTGTATGAGTGTATAAATTTTTTGAAAAACCCATGGATTTTTGAGAAATGGAGTTCCTAGAACATAAACTTGTCAATCCATTAAAACCCGTCTCTCATTTCAATGTGAGATGCGAATTTCTCTCCAAAATTGAAAGAGAGAGAGAGAGAGAGAGAGAGAGAGAGAGAGAGGTGGGGACAGAAAAATCGACCTCGATCTGGGGATCACACTGTAGGCGGCGATCGACCTCCTCAGGAGAAGCCGGGGAGGAGTTGGGGTAGGTCATGGGAAGAGGGAGGGCATCTGCGTCGTCCACCAGATAGCTCTCTCTGTCCCCGGACCACCACCACCACTTGCTGCCGCTCTTCTTCTTCTTCTTCCTGCTGCTCCCATCACCATCTTCCACTGCATTTGCCTTCACCCCTTCGCTCCTCCTCCCCTCTCTCTCCCCCTGCGGCCAATTCCGGAGACCCACGTCCGGTAGGCGGAACCAGTCGAAGGAGGGGCCGGCTTTGGAGGCGTCAGCAGAAGACGCCGCCACCACCACGCCCGCCACCCGGCGGCGGCGGCGTTTCGAGCTGCAGGGTGAAGACCCAAGAAGACGGTGGCGGCGCTGTGGACAGAGAGCAGAGATCTTTGCCGGAAAGGGCAGTGTACTGAGATTCGCCACCGCCATGGCGAACTTCTACAAAGCAAAGTGGTGCGCAGCGCGGCTGGAGATACAACGGGGCGCCTGGGGGAGGAGCGTGAAACCCGAAAGCGATAGACACAGAAGATTTTTTCTGTCGCAAAAATCTCATACGTTTATTGCCTAAAAAGGCCACAGAAAAATCATGCCAACCTCAAAACCTGCAAGTTTTTTGATCTGCCATGTAACTTTTATTCTAAATTTGTAGTCTTGCTAGATCCATCCTTTTCAAGAATGCCCCATCCCATTTAATATTCTTCCCAAGGAAGATCTGTTAAGCAAATTAAATCAGCTACTTGACCAGATTAGACCCCATTAATCAATGAATTAACTTGATGGCTCAGTATTTATGAAGTTAGATTGAATCATGTGCCTTATTTATAGCAACTCTCTTGTTCAAGAGTGTTCATAGGAAGTGTCCCAAGGCATAAAGCAAAAATGTAAGAGGGGTGGTGAATTTTCTTCTTAAGGTTGTCTGGAATGGGGTGATCAAAAACTATTTGATTGCAAAACATCGAGCAAAGTTGTGGGCACTTCTGCTACTGAGAAGGTTTATGAATTTGTTGGTTAGAAAAATATCTTTGTATTTAAGGAGGATATAGCAAGATTAATCCAAGTATAGAAGACCCAAGAACAACAACAATAAAATCTTGATTTTTAATCTAAGTTTATGTATAGAACTAATCAATGATTCATTAAAGTATAAGTCAAGAAGCACAATATGACTACAAATTTTCACTAAGATTGGTTGTCGGGTTCAATGAAGTCATGCAAGAACTAAGAACCTAGAGTTCGATTAGTCCTCTCTTTGATGAAAAGGATAAGGTGAAAAGGAATATAATGTAATAAATTCACATGAGTTGACTGCCTATTCATGAGCAAGAGGATGAAAGATGAGAGCCTTAAAATGTATAATTCTATGGTTCCATGGTTCCATTGTCCACAAAGAGTACATGCAGCTAAATACTAGGCAGATTCTATATGCTAACATACATGGTGCTCTTCAATTTGATACTTATGTTTCACAATATAAATCCTAAATAGTCTGATATATCATAGTAGCAAATTTGATATATCTGTATTTTACTTAATGTACTAATTATATATTTTTATATAATTAGTATCTTATATATACTTTGAGATATTTCATAACATGAATGATATATTTTGAGATATTCTTCTATTTTTTGCTGATATAATCCATCTATTGTGTAAGATTAAGGTTAAGATACAAAGTTATCTATATATTACTCCTGAGTTTAACAATTGTGTTACAGAATATAACTTATGTTTATTGAAACATGAAGCTTCATACAGTCCATTATCTAATATGGCATTTTTGTTTAATAAACTTCAATGTTTGATGAATTACAAGATTCCATAATATAGTTTGTGATATATTGAAATATTCTACTTGACATAGCATACTATTCCATTTGGTACACAAAATTTTTAAATTGGATATATTTTACCATAATGCAATATGAATTTCATCTACCAAAGTATGTCTTAATATACTACTTGATATGCTATGACACATCATAGTGGTCTACATAGTATTTGTGGATTGTGTTCACCCTAAGTATGGTGTATACTGAAACATCTGATACAAATAGATGCTTAATGTTGTAGTCAATTGAATTAGGAGATTTAACCCCAAAAACTACAACTTATTAAAATAGAAATCAGAATCTGATAGAAAACCCAATGAAGTCTATTGATTCTCTATCTAAAGTACTTTATTCATCCTTGGGTCCAATTATTTTCTAGGTCCAACATATTAGCCTTCTAATATAAGCTAATAATTTCTAAATTCATAGCTCTAAAAAATAATTGAGTGTACCACTAACTTACAATTAGTGACAATATTTTACCACTATGGATTATTGAGAGAGAGTACACTAAATATGAAGCTTTTATGACTAATTTTGGAGTTTAATTGGAATAGAGAATAAGCAACAAAGTGTGGAAGCTTGATACATTTAATACAACAATAGTTTTCCAATAAATTTTTTGCAAAAGATATACAACTCTTCATTCCAAAATTATAAGATGATTGCACAAGCTAATCTAGTTATATTTTTTATTTCATGCATTTGGGAAGCTCAAAACATGTGAAAAAGGACCCATGAAAGCCATTCCAACAATTAATTTGAATATTCCAATGCATATCTTTTTATATTTTGTTAGAACACATTTTTCCATTTTCTTGTGCACCTTTGAGCAAAGTCAACTCCCTTTTTTCTGAAATAAGAAAAGAGACAATTGATCTGTTTAGTGCTCATTCTCTTGTACACAATTTATCAAAGCTTCAGTATATACAAAAATCTCAACTTAATTCTACTCAAGCAGTAATTTTATGCTGAACTTATGATAAGTATTCTTCCTGTACACAATTTATCAACGGCAAAGAAGACATAATATAAAAGCCTTCTTCTTGACTACCGAATTTCTCTTGTCAATGAGCACAAGCGCATCAATGAATAAAAATTATTCTGTCTTATTTTTTTAATCTTGACAGATTGTCTTGCCTTCATAATCCACCTGAAATTTCGCTTATATTGTTCCTATGAAAACAGCATCCAACTACAATTTTGAACGTCGCATGCCTCTGAAATCATTCAAGGAACCACGCTTATTAGGTGAAGGCAGTCTCTGCCTCCTGCGGAGAGGCTCATTGTGCATAATGTCCCAACTTTCAATGGTTTTTGGACTGTACATGTCAGAAAGGATCTTAGCGATGGCTTCTGGGCCTTCCAGATGAAACCAATCTCCCCTTTTCTCGTCCTGCCCAGGACCCACATCTTCTGCCTCAAGCTCCACTGAACATGGCGAACGGTAATCAACACTGTGACAACTGGTAGACCCCTTTAGACCCTCTGTGGTGCCTGCTAATGCCTTGCGAGGGCGGTCGCCAGACCCTGAGGCATGGTCATCGGAATTTCCAAGGCCTGAAGCTTGGTAGTCACTGAGTTGTTGCATTCGTTGACTATAACATATTACTGCCTTGCTAAGCAGCTGAGAGACAGCAGCTTGGTAGTCAACGGGGTAATGCTTGTAATGGCCTGCAGGGTGTTCATTGGGAAGACAAGTAGATAGTACTTGAGTATATGTGAAAGCAAATGATGAATGCTATTAGAAGAAGCATACGTGACAAAGTCAAGGATGGTTGACTTTGGAAAGCACATGTGAGCTGCCGCTTATTATTCATACTTGAGAATTCGAAACACTGCTGCATGACATTGTTCCTCCCCTGATTTCTAGTGAAGTCCATGAACATGAAGGATCTATTAATCGGACAGAAAGATCGATTCCGAGAGGGTTTTGAATTATAATGGCTTATCATGTCATAATCATTCAGATTATCTTCCATCAGTGCCAAGCCAAGAGGTATTCGTACTACAGATTAAGAACACATATTTTTAGGAAACCAGTAACCTTCCATAGACAACAAATGAGCCTATTATGTGCAAGGAATTCGAACAACCATTGTGTACATGAGACAGCTAAAGGAAGGAAAGAAAGGAGAGAGAGAGTGCTACATGGGCAACCAGCTTCATTCCCATCAGAATTCAGTGGAAAGCTCACTAACTGCCCCAGAAGAGTCTGTTCCAAGGTCACGTTTATTACATTCTAGGAGGCTCAGGAGAGACTGATCTAAGCTGGCAGAGTTTTAAGAGCTTGAGAGTATTCTAAACATGAAAAATCAAAATAAAGATTAAACCTTGTCTGATTGAAGTTTAGCTATCAAAAAAAGATCAATTAAGATCTTGATCTTTTGTGGGCCAAGAGTCAGGTGTTCATGACCCAATCAAATTTTTGTGGTTCAAGCGTCTAGTGGTCGTAATCCAATATGAGCGTTTCTGGCCTTGGAACTCAATGCTAAAAAAATAAAATTAAAATAAAAAAAATAAATCCATTATGAACTTATGTGGGCCTAAAATCAGATAGTCAAAAAAGGTTCCACGAAGAACTTTTGAAGCCCAGTGGCAAGAAACAGATATATTAAAACAAGTATGTGGGCAAAATGTTTGAGTCCTTGCAATGAAGAAGTATCTAAACAGATCATTTTTCATGAGCACAGTAAAATGACCCTCATCTCGTAAAATGCCAAATTTTATGAAGAGCCCACAAAATGAAGTTCATTGCAAGTACTCGTCAAGCGAGCTTCGCCTCATGTTCACCAAAATGGGTTTACTCTCCCCAACCTTTTCTCTTCATCTCCTTGCCCCTCCACCCCCCAGGAAAAAAAGAAAAAAAAGAAAAAAAAAAAGGAAACCATTGTAGGGTCTAATTCGGAATGTTTCGTTATCAATTAAATTTTCAACATCATGATATGACTATTAATTGACAGAGTATTCATTCATAGCCAGGATCTAATTGATACTCACTGACTTTGATCTGGGGAAGGATTTGAATCACAGCAAACTTAGAAAGCCTCAGTTACTAGCAGGCCTGATAATAATAATAAGAAAGACTTACCTAAAAACTGTAAACAAAGATAAAACATGACAACTTCGTTTTCAAAATTAAGAGGTGTAAAACTCACATAACAATCAACAAGCCTGTAGCATCGAGGAAATCTTTCATTTAAAAAAAAATAATATTTGAGTTTGGCCAACAAAGTCAATAGGAAAGGAGCCTATTTAACTCAACTTCTTGCCAGCGCACCATGTGATTGTATCCAAAAATTTGTTACTTTTAAGAACACATGCATTTTTTAATATGTTATTACGAGAATGATGCACGCAAACTTTCACTTAATGACACAGTTATCTCCGATTTTGTTAATTGGACACATTTAAGTGTTTTCAGGCATACCTACGTGTGGGGAAGATGCCCATTTAATCAACTTAACATCAGAACCTTGCTCTTTCAGGCATTCCACAAAGTTATGAATAACGGAGAAGGGAGCAAGTTCATCATCTTCTGAGCACAAGACAAGAACTGGTCCCATTTTCTGCAATAGTGCATCAAAACATGGTTAAGAAAATGAAACTGAAAAAAACGAAGAGACTGGTCTGAAAAATAAAAATGTGAAACCCACCGTAGAAGAAAATAGAGTTTGCCAATAGTCAGCACGTTGTTCCTCAAATCTCCGTAGGAAAAGAGTATCCAAGCCAGAAGCTAGCATTTTTGCCATCCATGAAACTATTCGTGGTGGCTCAGACATTCTGAGGACACTTGGGTGAAGAACAAAACGAGTACCCAAGTCACTGGTGAAATCAACAGGGCTGGAGTCGTATATTTGTCCACATGCGCAGTCCCTTACAAGGTCATATTCACCCTTCTAGAAAAACGAAGTTAATAATAATAAATATTTCTCTAGCGAGTCTAAAGGTAGCTTTTAAACTTTTAAGAAATAAATGAAAGAAAAGGAAACGGGTTTAACAGAGTGAATCGTCAACAGATGATATTATCAGCAACACTCTGTGATAAGTATAAGTATACAATAAATTCTCAAATGAAGAGCATATTCTTGTTCAACAAATTTTGCATACACATCTTCTCACAACTAGTTTTAACGTTATGAAGAAGATCACCGGTTGTTCTTAAAAGAAAGTGCAAGTTTTCAATCTTTTCTTGTCGTCTCATTGACGAAAAAAGTTTCATCCTTCTATGTACTTCATATGGCAATCTTTGACAGCGAAAAGATGTCATACGTGTGCTCCTTGTGTTCAATTATGATACTCTCAAAGGAAGATATTTGTATTGGGGCCAATACGGATAATAGATGTCCATTTTGGTCAGTAAGTGAAACATAATGAAGAACTAATCAAACATTTCAGTCAGTAAGTCAACGGATAAATCGGTCGGTACAATAAAAGACAGAAACGCCAATGCAGTATCTTGGTTAGGTAGAAGATGTTAACTCCCATCAATTTGCATATAAGCGCATGAGCTATTATCTAATCAGAAAAGTCTTGTTTCCTGTTAACAACTACAAAAGATTAAAGACTAGGAATGAAGTTCTTTGCCAGAAACTGGAACAGTGAAAGGATAGCTTACCAGATCAAGTTGCCCTTCACATTTTCCTTCAATTATCTAGAAAAAGAAAGCGGCATGAAAATCATCACGCAATGAATGAAACAGCATCACCATGGAGAAGGTATTCAAACTCACACTTATAAACAGTACTGAATAATCAATTGCAAGTTTCCGGGTTAGACATTTACCTGAAAAAGCTTGTACATACAGCCCTTTGGGCCTCCTGAGAAAGCTGAGAATACAATAGGCAATTGTCTGTTCTTCACTTCCTACAGTGCAAACAGTTAACAAAGAATATGAAAGGATATCTTTCCATTAAAAAGAGAAGGGTCGAAAAGATGTGAGTGATAGAGATCTATCAGAAGATGAAATGGAAGAACATATAAAATTGATAAATTATGTGCATATCATGATGCATGGCATGTCCCATGCAAACGGCCTGTCACTGGTTTGCAAAGCTAGGCAGCATTTCCGAATTCATAAATGAAGGGAACAGAAACAATATCATTTGTTGATAATCGCAACTGCGATTGGAATGATTCAACTATTTTTCCTGACTGCCCAGCAATCACAATTAGAACGTTATAAACCAGAAATATTAAATGATATATATGCTACTAGTCGACATGGAATCTATGAAAATTGGTCACGGGTAATGTTCTATGTGGTGACAAATGATAAATTACATCTAACGTATAAATTTTTTCCAGTAACTTGGGCATAGAATTACTCAGAATATAATGGGCCGAGTATACTACAATGTGAAGTGAATATGCACTAAAACAATAACGGTTACCTTAGCCAACTCGTGAAGAACACCAAGTGCCAGTGATGTACCCTTTTCTGGGAAAAATCTACATAACACCAAATCTAAAATTAACAGAAGAAATTCCTCTACAAAAAAGCAGTGATTATTGTAACGCAAAAAATAAAGAGAACAAAAATATAAGATGGTATTGGCTATACACCATTTAAAAAAAATCACAGTTTTTTCTCAGCTTAATCATGTTAACAACCACATTTGCTGCTCTGGTAAACTGGAAAACGCGAAGAGAGGGGTAACATTAAGATGTTGTTTGGATGGATGAGGATCAGTAGGTGGGTAAACCTGGAAATATGTAGTATGTTGATCTAAAATTCGAGACTAACGAGAAAACTTTTTCAGGCCTTCATTTTCTGCGATATTTATATTTCAAGGAGAATAACCAACGTTTCATGGGAACACTCCGAATTGTTTGCGGTGTGATGCCAGGTGCAGGAGAAGACGAAGTCAGTTAAAAAGGAAGGGCAAGAGGGCCAAGGGCGAGCCTAAAGATGTACAATCCAACATAGAGGGTATGTCCGCTAAAAATGCTGTGACAATCTCTGTTTTGAAGTTAGAGCAAGATCAAAAGATTTCTTGGTTGAAGAAATCTAACAAGTGGAACAGAAGCTTGAGTGTTTGCATTAATGAGAAGCTAGAGTGGTGACTTACAGAACCGATGGTAGTACTCAATTAGATTCATGAAGTCGAAGCTGCATCAGGGAGTGAAGTGTTCCCAGAAGATGTCCACTTGTGATGTTTTCATGTCTAAGGACAGAGATTCCTAGACTAGTATTCTAGAAGAGCTACCTAGCCAGAGCTAGATAGTCAAAGTTCCTAGAAAAGAAGAACCCGGAACAGAGTGCCTCACAAAATCAAGGACAAATCTTAGAGAATCCAAACTTTAGCTGTTTTTCCAAAGAGGATTCGAAGGAAATATGAAGGTCATAGTTATTGTATAACTATAAAACTAGAACAGCTGCCACATTCTTTTATGAAAAATAACTTCAAGTTTCAGATAAGTGATCATTGAACATGGAAAGAAACCGTGGTATGTAACAAAAATCACGAAGAGGATTGTCTCACTGGGACCATGAAGCTTCCTGGGCATAAGAGAAAACCACAAGAACGAGTCCCAGAGCTATAGAACCAGCACATGAGGATCAACCTTAATATGATTCGTCACTCCCATACATGAGGATCAATCATTAAGCAAAAAGTTCAGCTCGTCCCCAATATGATTCCTACCATCTTGAAGCTCATTGTTACCAGGTGATTTCCATCAGGTTGGAACATACAGAATTATCTTTACTAAATAAGTCACTGAAAATTAATCCTTCAGCCTGGGCAGCAAGGCCAGCATGCTAGAACGACCATAGAGAGGAAACCAGTGTTCAATATTGTTGGTTCAAATAGCGTACATGTGTTTCTCCCTAAGTTAGATCAAGTTTGCATCTCAAAACAACTTCAACGCACTTTTATTAAAGAGCACCCAATCTATGATTCATTCATAAAATGTAAATTTTAGAAAAATCTATGAACGAAGAACTGCTTTTAATGCTTGTGATCTTGGGCCTTACTGTTTAAAGTATTCGGCACATAATACGTTTAGCACATAATACGGCAATGAAGGATTTTAGATCACTTTAGATATTGTTTCCGACATCCAACTGAAGTCAAAATTGCCTCACGAAGGGATTGCGCAGAAAAAATAACTCAAGACGAACGAGGAAAGATATTATTAAATCCTCTACTTCACGCGTTCGTGCAGCGAAAGCGTCAGCACTTTTCCCAAAAATCAGACAGTAGGGAACTCAGAGAAAGAAAACAGGAGCGAAGTTGAGCAAGATCACGAGAATCGGGAGCACTAAGGTTCAGGAATATACAGTGTGAGGAAATCGCAGTGGCAAACAAGCGAATTCCACCCGAGGGAGCCGTAAAGATTCACGTACGACCTGACGGGTTTCTCCCTGCTTGACAACCACGCGAACACAACAACAATCCCTTCAGCACTCGCTTCTCTCCTCGCCCAGTAGAACCGACCGCCATTCCCCCACCACATTTCTAACCCTCCGCCCCAGAGATTGGATCAGAAGGATCAAAACAAATATAGAACCGTTTCCCCTGGATGAACCAGTCCAGAGGTTTTCGACGGATGCATCCACAGAGAGATTGTGATTTGCGGAGGAGGAATAAATGGATCGAACCAGATAAGATGCGAGATTATCTTCCTGGGTCGCTGGAATTCCTTGATCTCCTTGTCAGATTGAATAATGGAGGTGACAGAGGATGACATGACAATGCAATTTTTTATAAAAAAAACAATTTTCGATTTCTATTAGTGCCGGAAGGTGTGTGGGACCTACATATTTTTATTTTTTATTTTTTAGATTGAGGAGGAGAATTCTCCGCCCCAACGCCAAAAATTTTCAAGATATTTTACATATATTTTCCGAAAATGATAATTTTCTAACTTAGAGGTTTTTAGATTCCAAACATCTGAAACATGAAATAGTTAACTGACTTACTCTATAGAAGATTTCATTTAATTACGCATGCTTTGCCTTAATAAAGCAGGATTTCACAATGAATAGGCTTGCCCATTTCGTTGAATGCCTCAAGGGTGTCCCTAAGTTAGCCTTCACTTTATTCTCAGAAACTATGTATATTAGTCTTGGTTTTAATATTATTTGATTCATTTTTTTTCATAATCCCTTTCTTTTCAAATGTTCACACCCCAAATCTCTCTCTCTCTCTCTCTCTCTCTCTCTCTCTCTCTCTCTCTCTCTTTAAGATGCTAATTCTAAATCCTCACAAAGAAATTCTTAGTAAATGACATTCATGTCAACCCGATCAATATACAATAAATGCAAACATTTGAAACCTTGATTGGGAGTAGAAACATTTTGAAAAACCCATAGACTTGGAGAAAGAACTCAAACACTTCTTAATCTGTTAAAGAATTATCTTTTATTTCATGTTTGAAGTGATCTTCTAAATTGAGATGATCAACCATATGTTGCAAAACGTTTCACCAGTGTCTACTAGGTTTCTTGCATAAACATTCAAGTTATGATCCTTGAGTAATTGTATCCAATCCTAAATCTAGAAAATATTATAGGGATCAAGCACCATTACCTTTGTAGTGTGTAAACCCTCTTGTGTAGTTGCTTGTTTTTTTTTTTTTTTTTGAGATAATTATCTTGGGCCGAACTTCTCGGGAGGTCAGTCATCCATCCTAATACTTTACATGCCCAAGCACTTTGGTGCCTCTCAGGCACATTCTTCGGAGATAGGTGCCACTTGCGCCTCTTGACATCGTGGCAGGGGTGCCTCTCAGCATGTTATTTGGAGTTGGGGGCATCTTGGCATAGTGAGATGAATGCCACATATGCCTCTCGTCATGGTGGCAGGGGTGCCTAAACCCGAGCACGCTTAACTCCAGAGTTCTTATAGGATTCGGTGGCAACTCTTCCACTAGGGAGGGTTTGTGTAGTTGCTTGTAATACCATACATGTTAAGAAATAGGTCTTTAAGTCATGAGTCAACTCTTAAAGTATGTGTCAACCATGACCCATGGGAGATCATAACTTTTGATTATATAATGAAACATTAGTTGACAAGTGTAGAACACCATATGACAAGTGTGAACTCCAATGCATCCTTATTTTCTACAAGTCAACTCTATTTTTTTTTCTTTAATTCATTATAGGGATCACCCCTTGTAGTAAAAGTCCTATGTTTTGTTACTTTAACTTTCCTAGTTGTTAATTTGAATTATGTGTATGAATTCTTGAGGATCATTTAACTATTTTAGTTAGGGTATCTAAAACTCGACAAATAAAGGAGAAACCATGCATGTATTAATGATTAGATATAGGTAGAAAGTAAACTTGCATTCATGTTGTTCGATGTACTTTTATCAAGTTTCTTTAACTAATATTTTATAATTTTTTATATAATTTCTATGACAAAACATTATCATTATTTATTTGGAAATATTGAGAATTCTTAATTTCTAGCATATATAGTTTAGGCTTTCTCATTTTGTTACAAGGAGAAACCATGGTATTGATTTTTAATTGAAAACTTAAGATGATCGATATTGGTTTACATCTCAAATGCATCCACAACATGATGACTCCCTTAGTTTAAAATAGAAACTTGAACATAGCTTACAATGATGAATAATGAGAAGATACTAAGAAGCAGACGCACAGACACAGATAGACTCACACACACACATAGAAAAAAATATTTTGGCCAAATTAAGGAGTAATATAAATAAAACTAAAAATGTTTATTAAATGATAATGGTTAGATTAATGTGAGAAATGCATTACTCAAATAATATCCCCCTAAGTTAGGTGATACCTTTGAATGTGAACACAAGACCCAAGGCTGTCACACCACATGTGCAAGACTAGTTGACTATTATAACTCTGTCATGTTCATATAAACAAGAACAAGTGAGAAATGCCACACTTATGTCCTTGAGAATATGCATTATGTTTGCATTAATGCTAGTGAACAATTTTTTGCATGGACTTTGCCCCAATTATGATGTATTTGAGAGATTCTGTACATACATAATAGTAACTTCTTTTGTATTGTACATCAATTTTATTCAATGTTTTATGTTTGATACTTACATTTGTACAAATAATACTCATGGTTTTAAATAAATTAAAACTTTGCCAATATTTACATAATTTTTTCTTTATGACATGTAGATGCTATTTTTCATAAAAAAATTTATGAAATTATAATTATTTTTCATTCATGTTATGATATTCATGAACCAACCATAGGAAAAAGTTAAAGTTTCAACATATCTTTCATTTTATTTCATGAATTTAAAAATGGAAACTCGATTTATATTTTAAATGAATTATTCTAAAACATTTTGTTTCCTTCTTCATAATACTTTGGTAAGTTTATTAAGATTACTTAATGCAATTTGTCGTTAGTAATTTGACTAGTATCCATGCACATTTATTGATGCATAACCTTGTCTGCCAATCAAAAAAATGTATTTTACTTTGCAAAATAACCCAAATATATTTGAAACGATCATTCTCCTACATGTCCTTTGGCATTTTCTCCAAGACAAAGTGGTGATCGATTAACATCTAAGTCATGCTAAAGGTCTTGGTGTAACATTAATGTAATGAAAGGATTATTGGATATAATCCTAGGGATGGAACAAATTAATTACCCTAAATAACATATAAGAATTGAGAATTGATCGTATTAGTATAGAACAGTCTTTCTCCACCTCGGACGCCTCAGTCCATGCAGCCTTGTCTTGTGACTATTCGGATGGCCCTTATTTTACCCCATTATTGATTTGCAACGAGCGCACGTGAGGAACGGATATGTCTGCATGGGAAAAGACCGTGCCGCCAACAAGCGCGGATCCATGCTGGTCGAGTTCCACTAAACGGAGCTCATACGAATGCACCCATGCCAAGCTGATATACATGCCCCTGGCATCGCCCATCTCTCTCTCTCTCTCTCTCTCGCTCTCTCGCTCTCTCGCTCTCTCTCTCTGCGTGGCTTCTCAGGATGGACCACACATCCACCGCTGACTCACACGCACCCCCCTCGTGGTCGAATCTCTCTCTCCCTGTCTCTGTCTTTCGGCCGTGCAATATAGGCAGTGCATGAAGTGGATTCGGGTCCTTTCACCGAGTGGAGAGATCTTCAGAGGACCGCAGCCCCGCCGGTGGAGTAAAGCCGAACCCGGACCACACAGGAGAACTGCACCCCCCCTTCACTTTTGGTGTTTCCTCCTCCCAGAGGGAGACTTGGAAAAACAATGAATGGAGAGAAGATAAAAAGAGGAGAGATAGATAGATACATACATACATAGAGAGAGAGAGAGAGAGAGAGAGAGAGAGAGATTCCTTCTGGACAGCTCGAGCAGCTTGGGAGGTCCCCTACGGCGACTCCTCCCTCCTTGAGGAACCGGCAGGGGATGGCTGCACCTCATCAGAGATGTGATAAGGGGGAAAGTGGCGGCGATGGGGTTAGAGAAAGACCGACTGGCGGCCTCGTTTAAAGCGAGAGGGAAAGAAGAGAAGGGCGCAAAGGTGAAAGCCATGTCCAGAAGAAGCAGGAGGTCCCCTTCTATGATGCAAGCTCCGTGGGGGCCGAGGAGCCCCTTTGCAGGTAAAAGAAGGCTCCTCACTCTGGCACCAGTTAGGAGGGAGCTTCTTCTTCCTCCTCCTTCCTTCTTCCTCTCCCTTCTTCTTCCTTCTTCCCCTCCAGCTGCCCAAGCCCATGGGCCCTCTGATCTGATCTGGAGCCGATGGTGGGGAGTGGTCCTTCAGCGCAGACATGGGCCTTTCTTCGGTAGAACATTAAACATACATACGCGTAAAATAATACTAAAAAGGCTGAAAATTAAACCGAGTCTTGGAAGAATTGACAGTGAGCATGCAACTTTTATTACTTTATAAAAGATATTTCTATGTCGGAGAACTGTAGGAATATTACTTTACATTACAAAAAATACATTAATTATATGAGAGTGTACCCACCAAGAGATGGTGGTCCTTCACCCCATATATGGGCCTTACTGCCTGATAACATCAAACTTAGTTACATGTCTAATAATGTCGAAAAAATGTTGAAAATCATACAAATTCTAGATAGCATTATTTTATTATTTTATTAGAGCAGACGATGGTGTCTCTATTCTTTTATTACTTCTAAAAGCTACATTTATGTTAGAAACTTGTAGGAAGATTACTATGTATTAGAAAAAATGAATTTATCAACCGCATTCACAGAATCTAGTGTTCTAGTTGGATCGAATTCACTAACTAGAGATGGATCTAGATGGTCATGAAGAATCACTATTTGAATATACACTTATGACAAACGGTCTTTTATGATTAAATGAGATTCCCAGCTATTTAATCCTTTAAAAGGTTCAAAAAGAGGGGGACTTTTCATTGAAAATAGCCAGAAAAGGACAAACTGATGGACAGTCCCGCACAAACCCATTTGTCGTTAAAATGAGTCAACCATGATGACTGGCACTAATCCATTATCAAAGCACAAATTAGTTTCATATCATATAGATATATACATTATTATACAATAAAGTAGGTGGTAAGAACAAGATTTTTTTACTAAATTAGGATGCTCTTATCCTACGTGGAAGTCATAGAACTTGTTAAAGGTGAGAGGAGATTTGTCTTCGTCAACTGGAGGAGTTTGATTGTGGGTCCAAATACCCTCATGAAGTTACCAGTTAAGAGGACATCCTCAGATCCTGTTGATTATTGGGCATTTTCGCGAGGTGGGCCCCATACCCCATCTTTGCCATTAGCATTTCTAACCTGCCACGTGGAGCGCGAACCTTCCTAGCCTACCCTCGAACGTGCTGCTTTCTGATACGAGGTTCAGTCTGTGGACCCCACTTTCACTTCACGAGCGGGAAGGTGGTCTTTGAGTTTCTGCGTTCGAAAGAGAGAAAATAAAATGGCCGAAGAGCATGGAATTAGGGAGAGACCCGAGGGAGGGGAGGAGACCTTGATGGAGCTGACCCAGGTGGTCATGATGGAGACGAAGGAACGGGTACTTTCCCCTTCGCTAGCAGCGTCCGCCGGCGTCGGAGAGGCCGGCGGTGTGAAGAGAAGGAGAGTTACTGAAGGAGACTTTGAGCTCTCCTGCCGCCAGCTGCGAAGTCGGAGAATCTCCCAAGGGGTGGATAAGTGGCAGAGCATGAGGGCGACATGCTTCAGACCCTTACCGGAGAAGGGGAGCAATGGCGAAGACCGGGATCAGACCAGCAGGTTCGCCGGCGAAGCGCGGCCCGCAGAGGAGGTGGCGCTGCCGGCGGCAGCGGCGGCGACGAAGATGGCGACGGAGGTGAGAGGACGAAGAAAAACGGTTCTCGATGATGGAGTGAGCGTTCCTCCTCATTTGTCGGAGCTGGAGAGCCGTTATTCCCTGTTTGAATCGTGGCCCGACTCCGATGGAGTTAAATCTTCTTTCCGTTCACAGGTGGACGAAGGTTCCGAAACCCCCGTATCTAATTACGACCGTGAGCTGGAGAGGTCGGTTGGTCTTCTTCTTCTTTCTCTCTCTCTCAGCGTAATTCCAACCCGTGATGCGATCTCTGAGAATTTGTCCGGCAACGGACGAGGAGACGATCTCCATCTCTTCCTTCTTCCGTTACTAGTTGCTTCTCCCTCTATTCCTTGTGTATTCATCCTCAGGTGGTCTTTGTTTGATGTTGTCTAGAGATGAAGCGACCATGAAGGATCTCAGAAGGAAGGAGGCGGAGGATATGGAGTCAGCGGCGAGGCCCGCCGACGCCGGCGGCCGCTGCAAGATGGAAGCGCCGCCGCCAGCAACCTCACCGGTCACGTCGCTGGTGGTGTCGGAGAGGGAAATCGAGGAATTCTTCGCATCGGCAGAGAGAAAGGAGAGGGAGCGTTTCTCCAAGAAGTAAGCTCTCTCAGATATATATCAGCCCACCACCAACCTTCTTCCAGAGAGAGGGAATGACGCTGCTGCTCGACTGTCTTTCTCTCTCTCGTTGACCTCTCTCTCTCTCTCTCTCTCTCTCTCTCGCTCTTACCTTGTCGCAGGTACAACTACGACGTGGTGAAGGATTCCCCTCTCGAGGGTCGATATGAGTGGACTCGGATAGAACCCTGACTGTTGCTGCGTCGCCTCTCGGCCTTCTCTCTCCTCTTCTAGCCGACATGCAGGCTGTCGTCAGCTATCGTAGAACTGAAGGTTCAAATTTTCTGGCTAATTAATTGTATCCTGGCTATATTTGAGTGCCCATTGAGCCCTCGTTCTGGGGGATTGCTGCCTTTCGAGGGGGCACATTGTTCTTACAGGAACGAGCGGCTTTATTTGCCATTTCTGTGGAATCATTTGACCTTTTTAAGGCTTCAAACGCATATACGTCTCCGAAAGAAGTCTATTTTATGGTAGTCTTGGAAATTTTCCAAGAGCTCAGGCACGTAGCTTTCTTCGGAAGAGATCCGCGAGTGAAGAACATACATTTTCTTGTCCCCCTCATGCATTTTCCACTGGTTTCTCTGAACTGAAGAACTGAAAAAGCTCAGGGTCGTTGCTTGATCCGGTTGTCTGTTGTTTCATTACTCACTAATCGTCTTGGCTGATTCCCAATGGAGAAGAGAGGGAGAGAGAGAGAGAGAGAGAGAGGAGGGAGAGGGAGAGAGAGAGGAGAGAGAGAGGAGAGAGAGAGAGAGGAGAGAGAGAGGAGGAGAGAGAGAGGAGAGAGAGAGGAGGGAGAGGGAGAGAGAGGAGGAGAGGGAGAGGGAGAGAGAGGAGAGAGAGAGGAGAGAGAGAGGAGGGAGAGAGAGGAGGAAGAGGGAGAGAGAGAGGAGGAGAGGGAGAGAGAGAGGAGGAGAGGGAGGAGGAAGAGGGAGAGAGAGGAGGAGAGGGAGGAGGAAGAGGAGAGAGAGAGGAGGAGAGGGAGGAGGAAGAGGGAGAGAGAGAGGAGGAGAGGGAGAGAGAGAGGAGGAGAGGAAGAGAGAGAGGAGGAGAGGGAGGAGGAGAGGGAGAGAGAGAGGAGGAGAGGGAGAGAGAGAGGAGGAGAGGGAGAGAGAGAGGAGGAGAGGGAGAGAGAGAGGAGGAGAGGGAGAGAGAGAGGAGGAGAGGAAGAGAGAGAGGGCAAGAACGATAGTGGGGATTTATTGTCACATAAAGAATGGGAGTGTGTGGTACGAGGAAGGCCAAAGACTGTCACAAGGTCGGATTGGTGTGCTTCTGATTTCATCATATGCCGGCCTCCACATTGCTCTATATTTAACGCCAAGCAACCTTTTGATCACATGAAAAATGTGATAACGCTTATCTTCTATATTTAACCAAGTGTTGCTTATCGGCATGAAGCGTAAAAGAATATAGAAGAGCCCCAAACTACGCATCACTTCCCCTTTATACAAAGCATCAACGAAAGGGACAATAGCAACACATACAAGAGTGTACTGTGATATTTTTCGCCCACAAACTCCTGTTTCCTGGAAGATCAGCAGCCTTCTGGTTATTGAAATCTCTCCTTTTTATGGCAGAGAATCAGGTGATTTTCGGGCATTATTCTCCGAGTTTTTCCAGCAAACTCGTCTGTCTGCCATCATTTCCTTCTCATGTACAAATCAGTTCACCATTGCACGTAAATTTCATCCTAATGAGTGACTGATTCCCCATCATGCATGAGGACATTGCAGATTGGAAGTTCGGTGCCCCATTCTTACCTCAAAGGTCAATCAAAATTGGGCAACCAATGCAACTGCTCCCAAGCTATTAAATGGCTAAATGTTTTGCAAGCTGTTTGGCAAGTTGATATTATCTCCAATGACGTGAACTTATGTAATAGATCCATAAGCACCATCCTCTACTATTAATAGCCACAGGTCTACAAGAAGATGCATAGTTTAGATAATTGACCACAGGCATTGATCAATTCGTAATGGTTTGAATCCTTATCTAGTCCATCCACAAGCCCACCTTATTAGTAATGTGATTTAGGAAGGATCTCCTTGAGTGTGAGTTTGAATTTTTCTAGCTTTTGGTAGACTTCTTTCTCCCTCAGCCTTATGATCATTGCCTAGGCACATTGTCATGAAATTACTGAAGTAATGTGAAAGAAAAAAAGGGCTTTAAAGGTAAAAAAAGTGCTGGACGTATTGGTCATGTCAAATATCACGTGTGAACTCCTAAGACCCACGTTGCATTGCATAATCTTCAATTTATTCCTTTTTTTTATTCAAACATGATGGTAGCTATTCAAGTTGATTCTTGCGAAAAGCATTTCATTTCTCATCTTCTCAAACTTAGCACTGGGTATCAAGTATTTATTCCTAAAACTCATTGTCTGGCTGACTTGGTGTGAGTGTTTGGAGGGCCAAACGGCTATTCTAGATTTTCTTGAAAAAGGGGCCTCCGTTATTTTGGGGTCATACCAAGTCAGCCAAGCCCTCTTAGAACCTCTTCCAAGCCCTCTTAGAACCTCTTCTAAGCTCTTTCCAATGACCTCAGGAAACGCGTCACGTGTGGGCTGTTTCAGTCAGTTTGAGCCGCTTTCTCTTCCCTCGGATCTTAGTCTGACTATTATGGCTGTTTCAGTTTCACCCGCTACGTCCATAAATAGGGAGGCCTCATTAAATAACAGGGGCCACTAGTGTCATCTTAGCATTATTTGAAGGTGAAGATAGAATCTAATGGACAAGCGAGCTGAAGCCCAGCCGTGTTCTCCCTCTCCCTGAGCTGACCTCCCAGAGGATGAACACGAAAACCTTTCTCTGGCAATCTACTCCATCGGTTCCAGGCTACTCGTCGAACGATATGAGGAGCTGACGGATATACCATCAGAAGCCGAACATGATGACCCTACTACCCACATCCATCTTCCCGCCGCTAATTGGCAAGTCCAGAGGAGGAATAGCTCTTATGAGTTAATGGCGCAAGATGGGCGGGGTCAGCTGTCCAAGCTTCTGGGTTCCCACTTTCTGCCGTCACAATAAGTATGCGTCACAGGGAGACGATATGCTGCCGGTAAGACATACCCAGCTCCTCATGATCAATGCGCATAAGATGGTTGACAGCAGCAGATGCGGAGCAAAGAACACTGATCGGAGTGTTCTCTCACCCACATTATCAGCTCGCCCAACAGATTCATCTGTTAAAGAGAAGCGGATGATGAACTTGGGAGAAGTGTTCCGACATGAAGTGTTCTCTGGAGCAATTGGATCATGAAACGGAGTATCCCTTCGTACCTCGAATGTACACACTGGACAGATAGAAGCGGTCGTTTAGATCATCTTGATGAAACGTTGGCGTTGAACTAGTCCCCCCATTCTATGAAGAGCACCTGGAGGAACTCTCGGATTCCATGAATAGAAGGGGTTGACTTTTAGCCTCATGCACTTCTTGAGACGGCTTGTTTTGAACGTGGCAGTGGGGGAGCTCTGAGCCGTCGTTGTCGAGCCATTCAAGGTATCTTTGACTTTCTTCTCGTCTCATTCATTGCCACAAGATAAATGAGAACTTTGCAGACCCATCGTTTGGCCTCTCTCCCATAGCCCAAACATAGTTGAGAGCTGGTAATACGCATCTTTCATATGATGCTCATCGGACGTGAAGGATATTGAAGCCTTCTCTCACATTATTCATCTCTCCAACTCTTACATACATGGTGTTCTCCGGATAAGGTTTGCTGGTGATTCCGACATGATTACAAATACACATTATATCATTTTAGTAAAGAACTTGTTCTATCATAGAGGATATAAGAAACCATCAACTGCAAGTTTATGCTACGAAACATGCTGGCGTGATTTGAATGCTAGATAAATACTAGTTACTTAATATTGGATCATCCAAGAGGAATGCTGAAGAAACACCTCCCACTCCCACGTAAATAGAGTCGGTTCTTTTACAAAGCTACGAAATAATGTACTTTTTATAGTAATTGGGGCACCAATTAAAAATATTTGTTTGATATTCTCTAATCTTAGTAACTGGAAACATAAAACGGAGGTTAGTACTCCAAATAATCGCTGATATATTTGGATGCAGTTTGGACTGAAGAGATGCGAGGCTAAAAATACCGTCCTGTTCCATCAAACACAGTGGAAAAATCTTGACATCAGACTGTAATGGCAAAGTAGAAAAAATCTTATAACAGTAAGAAAACCACAAGAAAATCGAGGTATGCTAATAAAAATGCTATTTTGGTGACTTTTTGTGTAAGATAATTTGCCGATTTATTTCGATGGGTATCTTCTGGAACCTCTTATTTTGTGGTAATATCAAAGACCGCAGGTTAACAAGCAGATAAATCCTTCTGGCTAAGGTTCCATTGGAGCAAGTCAACCCTTCAGAGGAGGGTTGGCCACCACGATCGGACTTTCTCTTCCTGCCGGGGTAGAACAACGTCAGACCTCCCTCCCTTGTTCTTGGTGTGGTGCCGTTGAGCCAGTCGAGTGAAGGTTATCGTTCCTGCTTGGTCTCCTCCCCTGAGAAGAAGGTAAGTAGGGTTGGAGCGGGTGCGTTGACCTACGCCACTCTTACTGAGATGCAGCCGACATTGTTGTCGTTCCTGCCGACGGTGATTAGTCAGCCGGCGCGAAAAGGTAGGGAGAATGTGGGGTAGTTGACCGGCGCCGGCTCCCGCGGCAAAGAACAGGCCGTGACGCCGCCGCTGGCTTCTGTTACCGCTGACTTTGATGGCGGCGATTCGATGAGGTGGGGGTTGCCCATGGACTTACCGAAGAACGTCAACGCCACCTCTATTTACATAGCGAAGAAAGGTTCTTGCTCGAATGCGTGACTTATTCCAGTGCTGTTTCTGCTGGATGCAATGGCAGCGAAGGCGGCGCCATTGAAGATGATAGTTCCCCGGGAATTATCACCGGGGAACTTGACGTATGGCGTTGACTTGTGTCTGTCAGCTTATAGCTCATACGGTTGGTGGGTCATCCGATCATCTCGGAAACTTTCATCGGGCTTCTCCTTCATGGCTTCCAGCCCGTGGCTTCTCCGATAAAAACATGCACGATAATTGGGGAGGTCGGCCGGAAGGAAGGAGATAAACCTGGTCTCGTGGTCTTCAGGACTGGATAGAGAGAGGGAGAGAGGGAGAGAGGGGGGTAGAGAGAGAGAGAGAGAGAGAGAGAGGG